GCCCCCCTCCCACTGCTGCCGGTTGTAGTTTGTGGTTTTTTCCTTTAAAAGTCACCTGTAAGCTGAGCTCTGGGCTGCTGCTCTCTCTCTCTCTCTCTCTCTCTCTCTCTCTGAGTGAGGCAGGGGCCCGTCTGCGCAAACGATTAAATCCTCTTGCTTGTTGCATCTCCTGGTCTGAGGACTGAGTTATTGGGGTGCGGCCTCCCGTGGACATTGGGTACCCCAGCCTAGGGGGGGGTCCTACATTGTCTGTGTCTATGAACCTAAGTGCAGGTGCCCAAAGAGGCCAGAGGAGTTGGATCCCCTAGAACTGGAATTTCAAGTTGTGTGAGCTACCTGACGTGGGTGCTGAGAACTGAACTCAGGTCCTCTGGAAGAGGAGTGTGTGTTCGTAACTGCTGAGCCATCTCTCCAGCCTGACACTAGCACCTTTTGTACAAAATCCAATGGCCTTTTTTTTTTTTTTTAAGGTCTATGTAGCCCAGACATGTCTTGAATTTGTTATGTAAGCTGAGGCCTGCCTCAAACTTGAAATGCCCTGGCCTCACCTTCCCAAGTGCTAGGATTGTAGGTGTGGGCCATCATGCCTGGAAATCACAATTTTTTATTGTGGTAAAACAAGTCAATGACTTACCTATGAATTTCCCAGAAAAATATAACTTCTGCCCACTCACAATAGTTAAATACATCATATTAAACAAGTTCCTCAGTGCCATAAAAGCAACAAAAAACATTATCTTCAGATGAATCCTGAAATTAGGAAGTTAAATTTTTTTTTTATTTTGGGGGAGTATTTTTTTTGAGACAGGGTCTTCCTGTAGCCACTGTCTGGCCTGGAACTTGCTACGTAGGCCAGACTAGCCCCAAACTCAGAGATTGGCCTGCCTCTGCCTCTTGAGTGCCAGGATTAAAGGCATGCACCACCATGCCTGGCACCATTAAACAAATTATTAAAATACTTGTAAACCAAGGGTTGGAGGCAGTGGCTCATGCCTTTAATCCCAGCATTCAGGAGACAGAGGCAGGCAGATGTGTGTGTGAGATCAAGGCTACCCTGGTCAACACAGTGAGTTCCAGGTCAGCTGGGGCTCCAGGGAGACCCTGTCTCAAAAAATAAAAAGGGGCTGGAGAGATGGCTCAATAGTTAAAAGCACTGACTACACTTGCAGAGGACCTAGGTTCAGCTCCCAACACCCATATGGCAGCTAACAACCATCCTTAACTCCAGTTCTAGAGGACCCAACACCCTCTTCTGACATCCATGGGCATTACACACACGAGTACACTTACATACATGCAATCAATGTACTCATACACATAAAATAATTAAAAAAAAACTTAAGGGGGGCTGGAGAGATGGCTCATTGGTTAAGAACAACGACTGTTCTTGCAGAAGACTCAGGTTTGAATCCCAGCACCCACATGGCAGCTAACAGCTGTTTGTAACTCCAGTTCCAGGGGATCTGACAGCCTCTTCTGTCCTCCATGGGCACTGCACAACACAGGTGCACTCAACCTACATGCAGGCAATACACACACATAAAATAAAAAAATAATAAAATATTTTATTTTAAAAAAACAACTTAAGGAAGCATTTACTTGGCTCAGAATTCCAGGTTATAGTCCATCACTGTGGGGAAGTCAAGGCAGCAGGAATCGGAAGCATCTGGTCTCATCAAGTCCACATCAGAAGCGGAGAGCAGTGAACTAAGGCATGCTTGCTAGTACTCAGCTTTCTCCATTCTTTTAAAAAGAATTTATTTTTTACTTTTATGTGTGTACAGGTTTGTGAATTACAGTGCACTGCTCATGGGGGTCAAAAGAGGGCATTGGATCCCTTGGAGCTGGAGTTACAGGCAGCTGTGAGCCACCAGATATGGGTGCTGGGAAACAAACCCAGGTTGTCTACAAGACCAGCACTTAACTGCTGAGCCATCTTTCCAGCCTCTCTTCCTCCATTCTTACAGTTCAGAATGTCCTGCCTAAGGAAAGAGTCACATATAGAGTCTTCCCAACTGCATCAACAATCAAGATAATCCCCCACAGGCATGCTCATAGACCAATCTATGGCCAACCCAATCCCTCATTGAGACACCCTTCCAAGGTGATCCTAGATTGTCAAGCTGACAACTAAAACTAATCATCACACTAATGAAGCTATTTTTTATTTAAAAGTTTTATTTTGTGGTGGTAGTGCACACCTGTAACTTGGGAGGCAGAGACAATTCCAAGTTTGAGGCCAGCCTCAAAAAACAAGCCAAAAACCATACTTCTTTACTTTTTTTTTTTCCCAGTTTCTCATTTGAGTACTTTTTTTCAGAAATGGGTCCATAGTACATTGGCATGTTCTTTTGAAGTCATATTATTTTCATGAAAATGTTCAACTCACTTTTATAATGGTGCTAAAAAATTCTGACAGTACTTTTGAAATCTCTTTATTCTATTCTTTTCCTTTTTTTAATCAAGATATAAGGCAGAACTACACCTTTAAAAAAACTGTGTATGATGTGCAGGTATGTGTGTTCCCCTGTGGAGATGAGAGGACAATTTTGTGGAGTTGGTTCTCCCCTTCTACCTTTATGTGGGTTCCAGGGATTTAACTCAAGCTATCAGGCTTGCATGGCCAGCACTTTACCTGCTAAGCCATTTCACTGGCCCCTATTTTATCCTTATTCTCCTAGGACTTTGGGGGAATTTTACGGTTTTCTTTTCTGAGTCTTTGTTTGGGGATAGGGTATCACATAGCCCAGGCTGGCTTGGATCTCATCTGGCCTCATCTCTCAAGTGCTGGGACTGTAGGCCTGGCTCTAAGGAGCTTTAAGCCTTGAAATACCTTGTGCGAAACTCATGTTCTCTTAGCTTTTCCCCTTACTGATAAAAATTTCATTTGAGGGTTAGAGAGGTGGCTCAGCGGTTAAGGGCACTGACTGCTCTTGCAGAGGACCCGGGTTCGATTCCCAGCACCACATGGAGGCTATGAAACCGTCCTTAACTCCAGTTCCAGGGGAATCCGAAGCCCTCTTCTGACCTCCGCGGCATTGCACGACAGGGGTGCACTCACATACATACAGGCAATACACTCATACACATAAAATAAAATAAATTCAACGACATTTTACTGTTTCTTCATTCCAGGCATCTATTTCTAGTGTTGTATAACAAAATCTTAAATGTATAAATGTAAAAACACTGCGCATCCATTAAAAAAAAAATTCAGTTAACCAAGAATTTTGGGACAGTAATTCTCCTAAAGCTAATAATTAGTTATTTGTAAATACATGCAACTTGGCAACTCAATGCCAAATTAAAAGCCCAAATGTCCCTTCTTCAACGGCACAGACCTATCTACCTCGAAAGTTTTTCAGACGTTGACTGCCACAAACTTCACCCGTTCAAGGTCAGGATTTGGCTGCAAGGAACCCAGCCTAACGCCAGCACTCAGTGCGCACACTTATACAGTGCTGAGATCACAGACCCCCTTCAGAAAGCAAACTCCACGTCGCCCCACCCCGCCAACGACCCTCGCCCAGTCCGCTTCACACAGCCTCTGCCCCAGGACAAGAGGATTCCTTCCCTGATGACCAGGAACAGTCAGGCAGCCAGGCCTGGCTCAGTTTCTTCTCTCCGGAACCGTCACGCCCCATACAGAGCTCGGGAGAAGCCTTCCCGGAACCCGCAGCGCCGACACCCACGATAGCCGCCGGACCCCGCCTCCGCCGGCCTTCCTCAACTTCCGCCCGCAGAGGCAGGCCACACCCCCGACAGGCGGCCTGTTTGCTACATGATTCAACAAACTTAGGTTTCTTCGCCCGGTGAACCTGGGAGAACCGAGCAGGGCCACGGGCTCTCCTCGCTCTCTGGGGGCCGATTCTGCGTAGCCGCACAACCCCACTCCCAGAGGGCCCCACACCATCGTCCCACTGGCCCTGCATCCCGCTGCACGCCGGGAAGTGTGGACCTTGCAGAGAGGGCTGCGCGCACGTGTGGCAGGAAGCGGAAACGGCTTACCCCCACCCGGCCCCGCCCCTGCGCGCCGCTTGCCGCCGTGCTAGCACTGACGTGTCTGTCGGCGGAGGATCCGCGCTCCGGAACGAGCAGCATCGCCTCCCTAGGAGTGTAGCACAGCCGAAGCGGGGTGCGGAACCGGAGCAGCCGCTGCCATGGCGAGTGAGTCCTTCTGAGTGGCCCCGGTGCCGCCGCGATGCGGCCCCTTCTCCGCCGGGGCGCCTGCTGGCCGAGCTGCCCGACCGGGGCGGAACGCGGCCTGCCTCCCAGTCCCTCGGCCCCGCTCCCCCAGGCCCGGCTCCCTAGGTCCCAGTGCTCCCAGACCCGACTCCAACACGTACCGGGCTTCCCCCGGGTGCCCGCACATCTTTCTTTGCCCTAACTCCTACTCTTATTTCTTCTTTCAAAAGTAAAATTTCTGGAAGTCATCAAGCCTTTCTGTGTCATCTTGCCGGAAATTCAGAAGCCAGAGAGAAAGGTAAGTTCCCCAGATGTTCCTCAAAGAAGGCTATCAGGGAACTGGGCGCTGGAAGTTTACAGTACAATTAAAGTCGGCCTCACCACCCCGAAAGGGAACTCCCCGCTTCTCAAGTGTAGTTGTGTGTGCTGGGATACTTTAGGCGCTGTTGAAAGGTGACCTGGCTATGTGGGAACTCCCACGAAGTCATGTTTCATTGCTAACCTCTTTGATGGATAGTGGTGAACTATCCATCGGATTTGCCTGGTGCTAACGTGGATCTGTGCAGTGTTTGAATAAGGCCTCAGTTAGGATACCAGATTGAGTTACCTTCCCTTCTTCATCTTCAGGAGCTGATTCTGGGGTGTTTGTTTTGTCTAGAAGGTGCCTTTGATACTGAGTTTCTGACGAAAACAGCAGTTACTTAATCGTAATGAGCGAGTGTGTATTTTTATGTAAGCTGACCAGAGGTTGAGAATAAAGTCTGCTATTCACAGCAAGTGTATTAAAACAAAGATAGAAAGATAGTACTATGTGACTCTTTATCAGAATATTTCCAGCCCCAGCCCAAGAGTGAATGTTTCTAATGCAAGATTTCCCAAAGAAGGAAAGCTCAGGCCCATCCAGAAAAGCCACTTTGTGTCTTTGTTCTTTTCAGATTGTATCAATACATTTACTATATTTATGTGTAGTTGACATCTATGTGGATACTTGGGAGTCTACTTTTACTTTTTTATTTAAAACAGTTTCATATAAATGCTTCACACACATGCTACTTTTGATTGGCTAATGAGCAAAACTTGTTCAACCTCAGTACAGTGGAAAGGATCTGGCTCTAGGGCCAGGAAAGCCATTGCTTCTTCATAGTCCTGTGACCTTAGCCTGGTAGAACAAGGGAAATGGTAAGTGAGTGGGGGGTATAACTGTGGCCCAGATAGGGATAAACTCTGGAAGAAGTGAATCAAATCTGATGGTAGTTTTGAAAGAATAGAAGTTGCCTTGAGGGTATGGAAAGGCATTCTTGGCAAAGCGAGTCTATAGCTGGCATAGGCAAAGAAGACTATAGTCTTCTATAGAAGACCATAGTGGGGTTTGGCTGGTAGGTCATTAGATGCATTTCCTACTGATTAAACAAGTGAAGATGAGTGAAATGAACTAGACAGATAAGAGATGGCCTTGGAAGGGAGAGGCCTAATTTGGATGGTTTAGGAGCTTTTGCATTGGAGGGCAAATCACTGTACTGGATGAAGGTGGGTTTGGAGCTGCTTCAGAGGCAGAAGATTCGGGGCTTAGATAAAAAGCTTTTGATGTTTTGCTTTTTTGGTAATGACCAGGAATAGAGGCTTGTTAAAAAATAGGCTTAAATTTTTTCTACCCTTTTTAGATACTCATTTTATGGGCTGGAGATGTAGCCAGTAGTGGAGCATGAGGCCCTGGGTTGGATTTCCATCACCACAATCGATGTGGTATGGGGAAAGGAATTTTTGGCAAAGGGAGTCTAGTCTGCTTAGGCAAAGAAGACAAAACCTTAGTTTGCCTGGTAGGTCATTAGATGCATAAATTTCCCTGCAAGGTTATTGTATTTCTAGGTAGTAAAATGGTGTTGCTTTCCCTTGGTTAGGCTGATGATTTCTTGGTATGGTGGAATAACAGATGGGAACTGCAGTGTTCTTGAGGGGAAGGGGGAGTTATGAGTTCTCCTAGCTGCCTGTGCCCATCTGAACTTTGAATTCACACCACCCATGTGTGGGCCCAGTACTATGTGTTCCTGAGAGTGGAACCACACACTTCTGTTCTAAGCTGACGCAGTGCTTGCTTGGGCTTTTCTGTGTGACTCTATTCACTTGGTCCCTTGCCTTAATAATTTGTTAAGCCTGTCTAAAACCAATCAAGTAGCGTGGTCTTCAAGAGCTACTGGTCTTGGGCATGAGGAACCTAGACTTTCTGTAAGACCTGATAATCTGCAAAATGATTCTTGTCAACTGTTTCACTTACAGTATTAGTTACTTTTTTGATTGTTGTGACAAAATGACTGATAATAGTGTAAGAAAGGAAGACTTTGGGCTCACAGTTCAAGGGTATGGTCCATCATGGTGGAGAATGGGAAGCAGCAGGAGCATGAATCAGCTGGTCACATTGTATCCACAGTCAGGAAGCAGAGAGAGATGAATGCTGGGGGCTCAGCTCACTTTCTCCTTTTTTTTCAGTCCTGGACCTCAGCCTATGGAGTGGTACTCCCACATTTAGTGTGGGTCTTCCTACCTCAATTAACTCAATCTAGAAATGTTTTCACAAGACATGCCCAAGATAGCGTTTCTATAGTGATCCTAAATCCCATCAAGTTGACAACAAAGATGAGCCATCACACTTACATACCTGAGAGGGGTGAAGATAAACAGACCCTCCTCATTTGCAGTGAGTAGGTTAAACCTGAACTCTTCCTGCCCTGTTTCAATGTTGTTTACATGGTTTACCTTTGATTGACAAGACATTCACTTAACAATCAGTCCCAAATTCCAAATTCTTTTGAGTCCAGAATAACAAGATTTTTGTTAATAGGCACATCAGATGAAAACAGTTGCTGTGTTGCAAAGCAACTCACTTTCTGTTGCATCACTCTTTGATCTTGAGTCTAAATTGTTAATGTGAGTGGTTTAAGGGCACAGCTTTGGACTCAGATTCATCTCAGCCGTGGGATTTGGGACAGATTAATCTTTCTGATTCACTTCGCTCATAAGATAATCTGTATATTATGAGGTTTATCCTAGGTGACACCTGTGAAGATCTTTTCACCACACCTTGAACAAAGAAGTCACATGACACATGCTATTTAATGTTACAGTGCTAGGTCTATATGCTGACTGGCCTCTGTTAACGGGAAATGGGGTCTGATTTGAATCTATTTGTATTTATTTGCCTGTGGAATAACTTGCAGCTTCCATTCATTCCCTCCCGCAGATTCAGTTTAAGGAGAAGGTGCTTTGGACAGCCATTACCCTCTTTATCTTCCTAGTATGCTGCCAGGTAAGCCAGTGCCTCAGTGCTGGTAGGGATGAGTGGTCTGGAAACAAGTATGTGATGCCTGCTCTCTGCTTGTTTCTAGATTCCCCTCTTTGGCATCATGTCTTCAGACTCAGCTGATCCCTTCTACTGGATGCGAGTGATTCTAGCTTCTAACAGAGGTAGGGCTCTGCCTCACTCTCTCTTCCTCTGTATAGTGTGTTTGAAGAGCCTCTTTTACTTCAGATACAGACTTTATATGGAACCCAGAAAATGTGTGAAGATGTGTAGCTTGGAAAATAGAAGCTGCCAGTGTGCCATATCCAGTAGCCTTGGTGACATAACTTAGCATTTGCTGATGAATACTATTGCATTGATGTTGTTTCTGAATGCAATATAAACCTGTAATAACAAGATAAATCTACATTGTAGAGAATTTTTTAAAACATGGAAAAACTAGAATAAAGTATGTGATAACATTCTTGAGAAAGTATAATTTGTTTCTCAACTGCTTTTTCATATCTATAGGCTACAATGTCTCACAAATAATGTAACAGTGTTTTATAGACCCTGAGCATTTATTTACCTGTGGGCATGAGGAGCATTCTGAATGTATGTTGATACTGCCTTTGAGTAACTCATTTTAAAATACAGTGTAAATTAAGTTGGAAATCAGAAGTAGATTGGTCCTAGCACAGTGGGAGGTAGAAGTGTATTCATTACTAGATACAGTTGTCCAGGCTGCTTTTCAGAGGCTTGGAATTCCTTGAATGTTATCCTTTCTTATTAACTGATTGGGAGACCAACCTTTCTTATCTCTGTGGGACCAGAATGAATCTGCTGGTGAATTGAAATGCAGTCTGTTTAGATGCCATATGACTTCCTGAACAAAACAGGATGTTACCTGGCAGGCTGAATAGGATGTGTTAAGCTGTATCTAATCCTTGATATTTGGAGGTGATTGTATAAATTCGTTGATATTTAAGGTAGTCCTGTAAATTAAATGCTCCTAGCAGACTGAAGTACACTGGGTTTGTACAGCAGCACCCATCCGTGTTGTTCATTATTTTTAACATTGTTTGGCTCTCCCAAGCTAATGTTGGCCCTGTCTTGCTTCCCTTCCTCAAGGCACCTTGATGGAGCTGGGCATCTCTCCCATTGTCACCTCTGGCCTCATCATGCAGCTCTTAGCTGGTGCCAAGATAATTGAAGTTGGTGACACTCCGAAAGACCGAGCTCTCTTCAATGGAGCCCAGAAACGTAAGAAACATTGTGCATGATGTTATGTCCACGGTTGAGATTGTGAATTTTCCATGAAATTTGGGGGTTAAAAGAGTTTTGCTTTGTACTCCTGACCTCCTTGGCCTGCCCCTCTGCACACACTCCATAGGATGGAGTGGGAGGAGCAGCCTGGGAGCTCATCCCTCTACTGTTCACAACTACTGCTTGTATGTCAGAGCCCCCTTTGGGCTAATTGAATGGATTGCTTATGCCTGGTGCTTAGTTGCTTTTCAGGTGTTTCTCTTGTATGTGTGAGAAGGGATTTAATGGAGGGAAGGCTCTTTTCTGGGTTCTGCTCTGCCCATTATCAGCTTTATGACATGGAGGAAGGTAAGGTGGCCATTCTTGTCTCTAAACGTAGGACAGTAGAATTTGCCTTAGAACAGATAGCAGGTGTTACTGTAACTGTCCAGCCACCAATATCAGTGTGTTCAGCCTCTGGTCTATACTAGGTTGTTTAGAAAATATTTTCAAGTGTTTTTCTGCCTTAGGAATTCAGGGCTATTGGTTGGGGATGTAGCTCAGAGGTAGTATACTGGTAGCATGCACAAGGCCCTGAACTTGATTGCTGGCACTGTCAAAAAAATGTTTTTGTTTAATTCAGGATTACTGGGCACTTTTTTGTTTTCTTTTAAAATTTTTTGTATTTATTTATTTGTGTGCAACATGGCATCCATGGGGAAGCTAGAGAACTAGTGAGAGTTGGTTCTCTCCTTCTGCCATATGGGTTCCGGGGATCAAACTCAGGTCATTTGGCTTGGCAGCAACTGCCATTACTTGCTGAGCCATCTCTCCCACTTGATTTTTTTGAGACAAGATTCTGAGCACTTTTTATTCTTTTATTTATTTGGTGTCTTGAGACAGGGTCTCCTGTAGCCCCAGCTAGCCTGGAACTCGCTATGTAGACCAGGCTGGCCTAGATCTCACAGAGATTCTCGGACTAAAGGCATGCACCATCATACCCAGCTTTCTTTTTTATTGTGTGTGCAGCATGGGCATGTATAGAGGTCAAAGGACAGCTTTGTGGAATCAGTTCTCTCGTTCCACCTTTAAGTGAGTTCCAGGGACTGAACTCAGGTCACCAGACTTGCATGGCAAGTACTTTCCCAAGCTAGCTTCCACACCAGCCCCTGAGCACTTTTTTAAAAAGTTACATTACTTTTGTGTGAATGTGTGCCATGACATACATGTGGGAGATCAAAGGAGAACCTGGGGAAATTGGTTCTCTTCTTCCATCATGTTGGTCCTGTGGATTGAATTCTGGTCATCAGGCTTGTAAGTGCCTTCACCTGCTTTACCCAGACCCCCTGAGCACTTTATAAAAAAGTCAAATGGAGCTATACTTCATGAACACTTGAGAAAATTTTATTTCATATGACAGACTAAACAAAAACTGAAATTGAAGCCCAAACTATTACTTAGAACCAACTAATACTAGGAAACCTATACAGTGTGTCAATCCTATTATGCCTAAGAATGAAATATAATGAAACCCAAAGTCTGCAAGGAACTCTGTCAGACCAAAAGAACTCTGTGGCAGAGGAACGGGACTAAGGGCCGAGTTGATGACTTTGTGGGGGTTTCCTTTAAAGACACTTAAATGAAAACTTACATAAGGGGGATTGATTTTTATCCCAAAGGTGATATTCTGTGCTCTAGCCTTAGATCTGAATGGTGAGCTTAGACATGGCCCACATGGGGCTCACCATAGAGGACTCTGGATCGTAGTGACCTGGCAGTGCACTTGGGTCCCCTCAGTGTGCCGACATTAATTGCTGCCTGACAGTTGCTTTTCCCTCCATTACTAGAAGAAAGTAGCTTAGGAAAAGGTGAAACTGAAGAGCAGGTGTGTTTGTGTTGTGGGCATCTGTGTCACCTCACGCTCTGACAGTAGTCAGGCCTCCAGCTCCTTGGAGGCAGCGTGGGCATTCTGCATGTTCTAGGTGTCAGGCATTGAGGTACACAATAACTGTTTCCTCTGCAAGTGTCCTACTTTCTGTCCCACTTTGAGAGTATGGTTCTCTTTGATTTCTAGTGTTTGGCATGATCATTACTATTGGCCAGTCCATTGTGTACGTGATGACGGGAATGTACGGGGACCCTTCAGAGATGGGTGCTGGAATCTGCCTACTGATCACCATCCAGGTAATTGTTTTGCTGACACCCCTAGATATTCCCAGATAACAAATCCTGCTGTAAAGCGACTTCACTGAGAAGCTGCTGGAGGAAGTGGGTTTGTTCTTCTCAGTTCACCAGAGGAAGACTGAGGACATACTCCAGCTTAGCTTTCTGTTTTTATATTCAAGAACCCAGTTACTGAGGAAGAAGAGAACCATCTCCATTGTGAGCAATGACTGACGTGGTCTGTTTGGTTCTCTTCATTCTTTTTTTTTTTTTTTTTTCATTTTCACAGCTCTTTGTTGCTGGCTTAATTGTCCTACTTCTGGATGAACTCCTACAGAAAGGGTATGGCCTGGGCTCTGGCATCTCCCTCTTCATTGCAACCAACATCTGTGAAACCATTGTTTGGAAGGCATTCAGCCCCACCACTGTCAACACTGGCCGAGGTAAGACCCCAAGTTCCCATGCTCAGGTTCTGGCATAAACAAGGCTACAAACTCCGTGGTAAATATTTGCATCTGGTTTTTCTGTGTGTCTGTTGGGCTTTTAAAATATAGACAGGTTTATGCTCATGATGATGCCCAGCTTGGGTTTTTATATGCCTGATTGGCATTTTATGCCAGAACATGAATGAATGAGATCTGACCTCATTTTTCTTAGCATAGTGAGAACCTGCATTGAGGGTAAAGTGCTTTTATTCTAACCAGCTGACTCTGGGTAGATGTTTGAGTCATGCCTGCTTTTTTGTTAACACTAAAATTAAAAGTTTCCTTATCTTTCAATTTTTGGGAGTTTCTCTCAGTGAATAATAGAACTACTAAACAAAGCCTATAGTCATGCAGGAGGCAGTTGTAAGAGGCTTGAACTTGCTCAGATTCTGGCTATTCTATGAATGGTCTGCAGATGAGTTACCACATTCCCCTCCTGCTAACCTGGGTCTTCATGTAGTGAGCACTCTACTAGTGTACCAGAGACTGAGGTAGGAGGATCTTGAGGCCAGCCTGGGGACATAGTGAGACCATGTCTCAAAAAAGGTAAGAGTTGAGATGCAGCTCAATGGTAGAGGTTTGTGCATGGTTTGATCCCAGCAGCACAAGAGAAGGAAACATGTAGTCACATGATACATGGCTCATAGTGGATGCAGGCCACATGTTAGTAAGCTATACCATGTCTACCAGGAGTGCTATGGAAATTCTTAGAGGGGTATTTTTTTGGTTTTGGTTTTTTTTTAATATTTATTCATATTTTATGTATATGAGTGTATTGCCTGCATGTATGTGAGTGCATCTGTGTCATGCAATGCCACGGAGGTCAGAAGAGGGCTTAGGATTCCCCTGGAACTGGAGTTAAGGATGGTTTGTAGCCGCCATGTGGGTGCTGGGAATCAAACCCAGGTCCTCTGCAAGAGCAGTCAGTGCTCTTAACTGCTGAGCCATCTCTCCAGCCCCATTTTTAATAAAGAAATTTGTGAATACAAGGGAAGCCTTAAAATAAGACTAAGAAAAGAGACTCTTCATCACTAAATGTCATTCGCTTAGATGAGTCAAGTGAGAAATGCTTGTGCACGCACATCTTAGAATCCAATGCAGAAGCGGTTTCCTTCCCTAGAGCCTGTACAATCCCATATAGCCAATGAACAAAAACTGGCCTCTGTACATGTTTTAGGAAATCAAAGGCATATTGGGAGAGACTGAGTATGGAAGGCAGGGGTTGTCAGACATGGGTGTATAAAGGCACAGGTGAAGGTGCAGTCAGAGTTCAGAAATTTAGCAAGACCTTTGTGGATTCCCGCTTCAGATAGCAGGATGGGACAGTCAGGGCTTAAGAGCCAACAGGGAGCAGCCAGGGTGTGCATGGAGTGTGGAAGTGCCATTTGTTCACACTGCAGAGCACACTGCTAGGGAAGTTCTGAGGGCAGCTTTGAGCAGACAAGCATGGAGTGGGTATTAGGGGAGAGTATGTGGGAGATGGGGCCAAGGAAGCATGTGCAAGGCAGTGGAAAACTTAGTCACTATGGGGCTTTCTTCATGGTCAGGCCTTGTGGAGGCGTCTGGAAGGGCAGTTTGATTCCCCAGCTTCCAGTGGGATGCGCACGCCAGGGGGAGCCAAGGGTGGTGGCGTCAACAGGATGCAAGGAGGATAAGTGTGCAGTACTCAGGTGGCTTGTAGTCTGAAGGACTGCTACAGCTTGGCTGGCTTACCACTGCTGCTCCCTGGACAGTGGGAAATGAGCAGGAATAGCATGGGTGTCAGTTGAGGTGATGCTAACATGTGGAGACAGCCTTGTTCCAAGATTTGGCAGATAAAAAGTAGTTGTTAAAAATTAGAAGAGTTGGAGCATGGCGTGGTAGCGTACGCCTGTAGTCCTAGCACTTGGGAGGCAGAGGCAGGCGGATCTCTCTGAGTACAAGGCCAGCCTGGTCTACAGAGTGAGTTCCAGGACAGCTGGGGCTACAGGGAGACCCTGCTTCTAATTAAAAAAAAAAAAAAAATTAGAAGAGTTGGGACCTAACCCTAGCATTTTTGTCGACTAGGCCTTCATTCCAGAGATGCCCAGCCCTTGTTCAGTGTTGGCACTGGTGTGGGTTATGAGTGTGATATGCCATGTGTCATAAAGAATCCTGGAGATGCTGGGTCAGCAAGACACAGATGAGGAAGAAGGGACCACAGGGAAGGGTATGACAGGGTTGATCTGGGCATCTCAGGGAGCCCTAGTGATAGTTGAGCAAAGTCCTGAAAGAGATGAGGGAAGAAGCAGTGCAGAGGCCCTGAGGTGGGGTGTTCTTGGTGTGGCTGGAGCAGGAGTAAGGCTGAACATTTGGTGGTAAGGGTAGAGAGGCCACTGGTAGGGGAGAGTAAGTGATTCTTTCCCAGATAAGAGGTTTGGCCTGGCCCTGAAAAGCTATAAGTGGGAAGGCTTGCTTGTTTTGTAACATTCATTTCTAGTGATTAAGGCTAAGTGCTATGCTCTAGCCTCCCTTTGCCCTGCAGATGCTTGGACCCCCTGCCCTATCAGTTTTTTAGACCCAACTCTGCTGCTAGTCCCACTCCTAGGCATGGCTTTTGGTAGGGTGTGGACTCTGATTTCAGTCAGGCCGTATACCCACACAAATGGTACTGTTCCTACTTGTAGGATTGGTATTTGGTCTTTAGAGCAGAGAACACAAGCCTCCTGCTGGGGCAGCCCTCATTGGAACCTGGAATGGATGTTCATGCTGCCTGGATTGCTAGGAACAGCATGCATTACAGATTTTTTTTTTTATAGATGATCTTCATTCCACCATCTGGTGGCCTAAGAAAAGTCATTAGCCAGCTTAGTTCAGAAGAGACTAGCCCAGTGCTGTAGTTTGATCTCTGCATAAGAAGTGGAAGTGAACTGATTATTCACTAAGAAGCCAAGATGCAAAGTGAGTCACTCATTCATTCTTCACCACAGTCATGCTCTCTGCCCACAGGGATGGAATTTGAAGGCGCCATCATCGCACTCTTCCATCTGCTAGCCACCCGCACAGACAAAGTCCGAGCACTTCGAGAGGCCTTCTACCGCCAGAATCTCCCCAACCTTATGAACCTGATTGCTACCATCTTCGTCTTTGCTGTTGTCATCTATTTTCAGGTATGTCCAGAGGCCTCTGAGGGTAGTTCTGCGTTATGCAAAAGTTAAGCTCAGTGTCTGTGATCTCTCATGAGCATCTCCATTAGAAAGGGCTTCTGCTTCAGAGTGTATAATAACTTATCTCTTTAACTTACTTCTGGGTAGATGTCTATTGGTGATTGAACTGGCCTCCTACTTTATGGTATTTTGGTATTTATTCAAAATAAGTTATTACAGCTGTTAGCTGGGTGTAGTGGCTCATTCAGGTGGTGGAGACAGGAAGACCAGGAGTTCAAGGACAGCCTGGGCTACATAGACCCTGCTTCAGAATACACGGAACTGGTGAGATGGCTTGCCAGATAAAGGCACTTGCTGAGAAGCCTGACCACCTGAGTTCAGTTCCCCAGAACCACATGGTGGAAGAAGAGAACTGACTCCTGCATTCTCTCGGATCTCCTCTTGCAGGCTGTGGGATGCATTGCTCCAAACCCATACATGCGTGTGTACCACATAAGTAAAATTTTTAAAGTTAAAAAAAAAAAATCAATAAAAGGGGGCAGTAGTTGAATGACAATTTAGTGTTTGTGACAAGGCAGATACTCTTTCTGAAGGACAAGTAGGTAACAAGTCACCTGTTCAGAGGCAACTGTCTACAGTTCGACCTTTAAGAATTCTCATTCTGCCTTCTGCCCTGCCCTAGTGTGTTGGGCGCCAAGTTTGTGACAGTCAGATGGCAGAAGCTCTCCTGGCATACAGGGTTCCAGAGGAATGGGTTGTATTAGTAGGATTCTCTGTTCCTGGTAACAGCATGTTCCTGGTCACTGCCCGAGAACCACTAGTGGGATCTGGGTATACCCTTCCAGGTTTTTCTGTATAGCTCAGGAAAGAGCATATGCCCTCTGACAACATCAGAACAGAGAGCCCAGTGACAGAATGGACACCCCAGGCCACATCTCTGTGGCCAACTTGACTGTCCCCATCCACTCTCGGGACAGTGTGCAGAGATGGGCAGTGAAAGGGCATATTTCTGTGTTTACTATGCAGGGCTTCCGCGTGGACCTGCCCATCAAGTCTGCACGTTACCGAGGCCAGTACAACACTTATCCAATCAAACTCTTCTACACCTCCAACATCCCCATCATCCTGCAGTCCGCCCTGGTATCCAACCTGTACGTGATCTCCCAGATGCTGTCTGCACGCTTCAGTGGTAACCTGCTAGTCAGCCTCTTGGGCACCTGGTCGGTGAGTCCACTGCAGGAGGGGAATTCTGGTGATAATGTTACTAGTCACGGTGGTTTGTGGCAGTGTCTTAACTCATAACTGGTATTTCACCCAAAGATCTTAATTGCCTTTTAGGATGCAGTGTGGCATCTGCTTAGAGCTCCTGGGCTCTGTGCTGTGGTGCATTAGGCAGCATCCAAAAGCCTTCTATTTCTTTCTCCTAGGACACTTCCTCTGGGGGCCCAGCCCGTGCTTATCCAGTTGGTGGCCTGTGTTACTACCTGTCCCCTCCAGAATCTTTTGGCTCCGTGCTGGAGGACCCTGTCCACGCGGTCGTGTACATTGTGTTCATGCTGGGCTCCTGTGCATTCTTTTCCAAAACCTGGATTGAAGTTTCAGGTTCCTCTGCCAAAGATGTAAGAATAAGTAGACATTTCTACCAGAGCTGATGGGACAGTTGCTGGTACCAGGGTATCCCAGTTTGTCACTTCATAAGTAGTGGTTTGTGACCTGCAGACAGCTCTCCTTTGTGGGGTAGTGTGGAAGCACTGAGGATAACAAATGGAGCTTGACAGTAGGTTAGTGCTGACTTGAAACCTGAGACCAAGCTAGTAAGACAAACTGTTGTATGAGCAAGTGCCTTGCTGCAGGTTTAAAGTCCTCTTTACTGTTGGTAATGTGAGTGAAAAACTTTTTAGTACCACTGTGAAGCATCTCCCCCCTCCCCTGCCTCTAGCATCTAGTTCACACCAGCTGCTGATTGCCTCCTGCAGGTTGCAAAACAGCTGAAGGAGCAGCAGATGGTAATGAGGGGCCACCGGGAGACCTCCATGGTGCACGAGCTCAACCGGTGAGTGTAGCCACTTAAGTCCTGAACACTGGAAATGCCACAGTATCCCTGTCTGGCCCCTTTCTAGAAAGGGGAGCACACGGTAAGCAGGTTTAGATGGTGTGGGGAAGTGCTGAATGAGTAGTGTTGGCTTAGCCTGAGTGGGGTAGGTCATCTATGAGCTTGCTCAGCATGGGAGGTGCTGGCACCTGAGCACAAGCTAGGGTCCAAAGCCCAGGTGCTAACAAGAGCTGGCCTAGAAGGGGTAGCTGGTATCTGAAACAGGGAAGTTTGGTATCAGGAAATGAGGACAGAGACTGTCAGACTGTTTCAAGAGGTGGTCCCAGAGGTGATGGAGGAATGTGGCTGTCACCTTGCAGGGAAAGGAGGGAGATAAGGGGAAAAGTCCCAGAACTCCAGGAACAACAGGTGACATGTGAGGCCTCTTTTTAAAGTAGGTTCCAAATCTGCTTCATGGTGGGCAGGAAGTGCCCTAAGCTCTCTAGCCAGTCTGTCCCAACTGCTTGGCTCTTCCATGGTGACTCAAAAGCAGCAGACATATGTAGAGAAGTGAGCAAGGCTGTTCTGCAAGGCTGTTGACAAAATCAGGTGCAAAATCTGGGTTGTAGCTTGCTGACCCCTCACTGAAGGAAGCCACAGGGAAGCCAGAGTCACAAGTCCCATGTCATTTTCTGATTCTATCCTGTTGTAGGCAACAGGCCTTTCAATTCACAATCATGCTCAGTCTTATGCATGGCTCTTGCTTTTAATATCTCACCTTACTTGGCACATCCACAGTATTATTTCAGCTTGTAACTAAGAAAAAAATCCAGGTGGAATATTGTTTGTTCTTGTTTTCAAGCTGTTTAAAATCTTGGGTGGCATCGTCAGTGTTTGAGTTTGTGCTGGTCACATCCCTGCTGTGTGGCCAGCCTAGTGGGCCTGTTGGACTTTACGACATGGAGCTAACTGCCTCCCTATCCCCAGGTACATCCCCACAGCTGCAGCCTTTGGTGGGCTGTGCATTGGGGCCCTCTCGGTCCTGGCTGACTTCCTAGGGGCCATTGGTTCTGGAACTGGGATCCTGCTGGCCGTCACTATCATCTACCAGTACTTTGAGATCTTCGTCAAGGAGCAGAGCGAGGTTGGCAGCATGGGAGCCCTTCTCTTCTGAGCCTTGTGTGCCCATGGACCAGGATGAGGAAGGGGGCAAGCTCCAGAACTACCCAGGAAGAGCACTCAACTGGAGCATACTGTTGTGGCATAGGGACTTTAAAAATTTTTTTTCATACTTTTCATTCCACTATGTAAAGTGCTAGAAATTTTCCAATGTGCTAGAAATTTTCCAATTTGAAATTTTGCTTTTTATTCTGGCATTGGCAAAAACAAAAACCCATAGAAGTGAGGTATTAACTATCTGCCAGGGGTGGAGGGTTGATAACCAATTGTCCCCAAGAGTCCCTGTAATTTTTATTTAAGCCCTTGCATTTCTCAGTGCCTGTTGATTGCAGGCATCCCAGCTACCCCCCAGGCAATCTGTGGCCATGGTTAAAGCACAAACACAGAGGTGCCACATTCTTACCTGGGGCTACAGGGAAAGGCTGCAGATGTGTTTTCTGGAGGAACCTCATAAGCATGCCTCCTGGTTTGTCAAGGTGGGGACATCTGGCTTAGCACTGTTTCTGTATAAGACAATTGATTTCCCTTTTTAAAGTAGGTTTTCTTAGGAAAGAGCTGCTTCTAATACTCCCTAGAAGCTGGCCCACCAATTTACCTGCATGTGCTGTGGGTGGTCCAGGCTAGTGGACAGATGGGCCTCAAGGTGGGAACAGCAAGATCTGCCTGTCTCTACCATTGCCAGGGCCAAGCAGCTTGTATCATGTGGTCAAGCAAGGCCAGGCCTGCTGGCTTTACCTACTGGATATGGAGCCTGGACAAACTAGGTAGGGGTGTGTGTGTGTGGAGCGCCTATGGCCTGGACAAACTAGGTCCCCCCCCCCCCTCTCTCCTCTCTCTCTCTCTCTCTCTCTCTCTCTCTCTCTCTCTCTCTCTCTCTCTCTCTCTCTCTCTCTCTCTCTCTCTCTCTCTCTCTCTCTCTCTCTCTCTCTCTCTCTCTCTCTCTCTCTCTCTCTCTCTCTCTCTCTCTCTCTCTCTCGTGTGTGTGTGTGTGTGTGTGTGTGTGTGTGTGTGTAGAAAAGGCCCTCGCATGCTTGCTCTTCCCCACTTCCCACTAGGAAGGGGAGCTCCTGTGGTGGCCATTGCTATCTAACCTACAAAAAAAGGGGAGGGGGTGTTAGCCATCTCCTTTGCCTTTCTGCCAAGAACTCATTTTTAGAATTTTCTTACTGTTGTTAGGACCAAATACAGACTGGCTCGGGATTGGTAGTAAAGTCACCAGGGTTTGAGAACTCTCAGAGAAGTTGCTCACAGTCATGCCTGATGTTAAGTTGACTGGGGTGATAGGTGATGTTTTTTGGAGGTTAGGTTTGGGGGTTAGGACCCTTGGGCCTTTAGGAGAGGTCCCCTCTCAAGACAGGTGCTACCAGCAGTTAGGTCTTCAAGGCTAGGGTTTGATAGGAGGGCAGCTAGAGATCGTCAGCTTACCTGACGGGACAGGAGCACCAAGGCATGTGCAGTCATGCCGATGCAGCCCCCATACCTCAGTGGAAGTGGTAAAGGCCTCCCTGGGTCAGAGCTCCTGGAGGCCTTGCTATGCTGGCCACTTGGCCCCCACCACAGGTCAGCAGAGCCAGGACCCTTGCCCATGGCCCAGGGCTCACACCAAATCACATGTGGCCTTGTCTAGACCCAGTCCTGAGCAGAGGAGCCTGGTGCCCTCCCAGTCCACAGGGTCTTCCCACTGCCCTTCCTCTGCTGCTGCCACAGAGTATTAGGGCTTCCCTGCCCACCCTGGAGACTCCACAGCCTCTGGCAGGCAAGTACAGAGTCCCCAGCTCTGGGCTGTGCTAGGGAGTGCCAGGCCTAGAGGACACACAACCCTACCTACTGCTGTCATCCAGCTGCACCTGGTGGCCTGTGGTTGGTGATCACCATGGGTAGGTGAGTGGGCCTGACCTTGGCTTCCAAAAGGACTATCACTGTGGATACCAAAATGGCTTAATTGAGATACAGTGAAAAAAGTGACAAATAAAGCTGACTTTTTACAAGCTGCCTTGTCATCCTTATAAACTGCCATAGAGAGCAGAGGATTCCTCAGGAGTGTTGAAGGCTTGGCCAGGGTTATCAGGGCCCCCATTTGGCATCTCATGAGAGGGGCTTTGCCAAAGTACTGCCTACCTCTCCTAGTAATGCTATCTACCTGTACTCCCAGTCCTAGGAAAGGGAAGCCCTGTGCAGGGGCAGGGGTGAGGCTGTGGCTCCCAGGACAGCACAGTATACCCTTGCGTACTGAAGGGGTAGAGCAGTGCCACCCTGGAGGGGAGATGGTGCAGATTGTGGGAGCCCTTCAGGTCTAGGCCCAGTATATAGCTGCTCACCAGGAAGTTTTGTTCTGGCTGTGAGGCTGGCCTGGGGCTAGATCTGCAGCCACAGTAGAGGGTCTGCTTGGTACTGGTCCCAGCCTGATGTGGGGACAGGTAGTCTGGTGGTACACCCCTGGATACAAGCCTGCCTTCTTTTTGCACACCCAGTCAGGTGCCCATGCTTCCATTCACATTGGTCGTATTTACCTGAAGCCCTGTGCCCTACATTCTCATCACCCTGGCTTGGTGCTTTCCTAGCCACTTGGTGAGGGACAGCCAGTGTTCTCAGGTAAGCCCAGCCAAGATTGGGAGGATGTGACTTAGCACAGTCTGTATAGCTGCTCTATATAGCTTTGGAACATTTCTGTTTATATGATGTTGAACAAGGGCAGGTTGTCCCTAGGACTACTTGATAGGTAGGTGTAGGCCTGGCCCGAACCCACGCATCAGAATTAATGCTCCAGACTGCCTGGACAAAGATGTGCCCTAGGAGCCCAGCTGGAGGTGGTGAGGCCCAGATAGAAGGCCACCATCAAGTGTGGAGCTAAAAGCAGGGTGTTCTGTTGGTTTCCAGAAAACATCCCACCTCCGGAGGCACTGAGTCTCTTGATGCCTGTGGGCTTGGGGCTGTTAAATCTATGAGAGCCAATCTGCCTGTGGGAAACAACAGAGCATACTCTGCTCTACAGCAGCACAGTATGGCTCCCAATATGGCTCCAAGCTTGGTCCTTGCCCTGGGTTCCCTTCCCACTCCTAGCTGGCTGCTAGTGTCCTGTGGGCACCTCTGCCAGGACCCATGTGGTTGGGGCAAGATGGTAGGTCTAGGTCTGTCAACTTGACCTAGAATTGCCTAGGAGAGCAGCCTCTGGAACTGCCTATGAAGGGTTAGATGAGGTTAGCCCTTGGGCATGCTTGTGAGGAGTTTTCTTGATTAGGATGAGGCAAGACCCACCCTAAATGTGGGTGCTGCTATTTTTAATCCCTTCTTGAATTTTTATTTCATACAGAACATCTTAATCATTTTTATTGCCCCACCCCCCACTGGAACTCATATAGTCTGTCAGCTGTGTTAAGACCTATTAATGTCAACTTAGTGTCCCCAGACGTCCCTCAGTGCAAGTTTGTCCACTGAGGTCTAGTCGGTCTATGTAGAATCCCTCCCCCTTTAAGAAGATCAGCTTTTCCTCACCCAACAGTAATCAGCTGCCAATAATTCTTCGACTGAGATTGGGGCCTGATACCCATTTCCACAGTTCCATGCTGGGTTTTTGTCTGCTTGAGTTTGCATAGGTCTTGTGCATGCACTGCTGTAGGGTCATAAGAGCAAGGTCCCAGGAGCCTATAGGACTCTTATTTCCATATAGTCATGCACCCCCTCCATGGCTCTTACAGTCTTTCCACTCCTCTTCTGAAATGGTCCCTGAGCCCTGGGTGGGTGGATTTTAATGTAGGAACACTGTCCAAGGACGCACACTTTGTAGATTCTTGTTCTCTACCCTTTTTGGCATAAATTATGACCTTTTGTTTTCCCGGCCCTCTGTTGCAAGGGGGAGCTTTACTGAGAACCGAAAGATGAATTAGTTGGGCGCTGCTATTTCATTGGCTGGATCCTGAACTGAAAAAAGCTCAGTAGGAACATTCATCTGACTACAGGTACACTATGACCAGTGTTTCAAGCTTGGTGGCACACACCTGTAATCTTAGCACTCAGGAGGCCAAAGGGCAGGACCATGATTTTGAGGTCAGCCTGGGCTACTGTCTCAAAGGGTGGGGGGCTGAATAAATGCAGCAACATCTTCTATGAAGGAACCAGAAGAGCATTCTGTATATACTAGAAGAATCAGAATACTCTTGAGGAAAATACAACAAGCAAGTGTCCAGTACTGTTGTTTACAGTGGGCAAGGAGGGGGGTGATCTGCAATTAGAAAGGCCTAGCATTCCCTTCAGAACTGAGTGTGCATACCCTCTCCCCAAGAATACAAGATGGGATAGCCACACAACAGTTACAAAAATAACAAGCCCACACTGCACAACATCCAAGACCCTCAAACATTGAGTGAAAACAGCTGACTCATAAAGGAGACACACACTCCTCCCACCTAATAAACAGTCTAGTAGCATGGGTTTGCATCCATGGTGGGGAGATGAATAGACATTGGGGACTTCCTTGGAGTGGTGCCCTTGGTCAGAATTCAGTATGTCCCACTTAAGACAGGCATTACACTGTGTGAATATAGCATTTAAAAGAGAGAAGTTAAAACGAGCATTAGGCAGGGCCTAATCACCCAGGAGGATGGAACTGGGTCTGCCCCTGAAGCCTAGAGGAGCCTAGACCTGGGATGGGCCTGCAGAGGATTGGGGAGGACACATGGGGCAAGGGAACTCCAGGGCAACAGGCCCTGAGAGAGACTCATACTTGAAACTCAAAATTCTGAATCTTGTTCAGAATCATCCACAAACATATCCATTCAAAAACATATCTTTAAAAGACTCTATGGCAAGCCCAGGGCGCCATAAGCCTTCCCCAACTGTGTTCTCCCAGCCCTGGGAGACAGCTGCAGGGCCGCGGAGTGCGGGGCCCCATGTGGGGGACTAGCCTGGAGGGCCGCCCAGGTTCCCGCCGGTCTGGCAAGCGGTGGGCGGCGCTCAGGAGGACACAGCCCGAAGGCGGGGCACCATGAGGGTGCGGGCTGCGGCGGGCCTTTCCCCATTAATCACCCGCGGGCGGGTGGCAGCGGCGGTAACGGAGCTGGCAATCGGCGGGCGCCCATCGGCCCATCTTATCACGCCGGCCCAGCCGCCGCCTGCCTCGAGCGGCCCATTGATCCCGCACCCGGGGCCCAGAGGCGCGGGGGTGGGGGCGGTCAGCGCAGCTGCTGGCCTGACAGTCGCATCCATCGAGCTGACGGCCGCACACTCGCTCGGCCGGCCATTAATCACCGCGCCCAGCGCCAAGTGACGGGCAGGGCAACGGGGCCAACAATGACAGCCAGCCTGCGACAGCCAGCACTGCAGGCCTTTGTGCCCCATCGGCCTGAGCCGGTCACTGCATCCCCAGAAGCTGGAGGGGGACGTGGGACAGGAGGACAGGTGCACCTCCTGGGAGGCCTGCTTCCTTCCCAGGGACAAAAGCCAGGGCTGGTTAGGCTGAGACCAGGTGGGACTATTGCTCCTCTCTGGGGACCAGTGGGGCAGGTTCTGGAGAGGAAGTAGCCGGGTTCTCTGTTCAGAGGCCCCCAGGCTCCATCCAAACATGGAGGACTGAACCTAGCAGGTTTGTGCCCCGTTAGCCAAAGCCTGACTTACTGCAGCAGAGGCAGAGACTAGTTAACTCCTCTGAATCCTGGCCACCAGATGCCGGTGGCCTCTGGCCTAGATGCCATCCATCCCTCAAAGATACAACCTTTTCAGGTGGGGCCAGCTGCCAACCCAGGTGCCACTCCCAATCTACCTCCTGCAACTCCATTTAGAGAAACTGAGAAAAGAAGTTCTGTTCACCCAAAATATCCTCCAAATCAAAGGGGGTGGGGGTTTGCACAAAGGAAACAAAGAAGAGGGCAAGGATCCCTCCTCTGCCACCCAGTGGCTCCCAGGAACTTGGTCCAGAGCTGGGATAGTCAGCCACCACCTCCTGTGACCAGCCCCCACCCTGCCTGACTTTAATATTACAACAATTTTTCACTCTAGAGCAGAAATAGTGCAAAAAATGGGGCTGCTGTAATTGTTGTTAGATTGTGTGTCAGCCTGATAAGATGTAACAAATATTTTCTCCCCACTGGGGTCTGCTTCCCCGCCTGGGAATGGATGGAGAAACTTCTCATAGTCCACAAGGGATGGGTCGTAAAAACTTCCCCTGAAAGATTAATGTAGTAACTCAGGCCTTGCTGGGGGGGGGTTTAAAAAAAAGGAAAATTAACCAAACCTTGCTACCTATTCAGATCATCTCCCACCTACTGGAGCAGCAGGATTTCGGGCTGTAGCTGGGAAGAGCAAGCCTACATCCTTCACCCTTACCAAATGCCCTGAGGGCTATACAACTCTGACCAACTGGCAGCAGCTTCTAGCATAGCTCAGAAGCTGTAAAAGGTTTGGCCCAGGACAGAAGACTGGTTTGTAGTCATCATCTTTTTTTATGCGTTATTTTTTTTGTTTTATGTGTGGGAGTATATTGCTTGCACCTGTCACGCAATGCCCTCGGAGGTCGGATCCCCTGAACTGGAGTTATGGGCAGTTGTTAGCTGCCATGTGGATACTGGGAATCAAACCCAGGTCCTCTGCAATAGAAGTCAGTGCTCTTTGCTACTGCACCAACTCTCCAGCCCCTGCAGTCACCTTCTTAGTCTATTCTGCAGCCCTTACCTGCTCAGGGTTAGATACTCAGCTACTGCTAACTACCAAAAATTCCAGACATGGAGTTCCCAGCTTAGGCAGGCTGATTTCAAATGTGGCTTCAGTCTTTTGCTAGCCGGCAGGTGCTTGCCCTAAACATCACCTTCCTCATTGACAGAGTGGTCTTGAGCACCCACATCAATCTCCTAGGCCTTTGATATGAAGACAAAATGATGTCACACCAGGCATGGTGACACACCTGTGATCCTGGCACTTAGGAGAGGCAGGATTGCCTAGAACTCCAGGCCAGCCTTGTTTATATACTAAAACTGTCTCAAAACAAACTCCCCAAAGCACACAGTAACTATTCATGTGTCCATACTGATGATTTACAAAATAAACAGTTTCTGATGCAGAATTCCAAATGACCTAGGGTAAACCAGCAGCCCTGGAAAGGTACACAGTTCCCAGCCCTTAAGCATGGGTAGCAGAGTGACTTCCTCCAAAAAGCCCAGCATGGAGCAGAGAGCCAGGTGGTAAGGGGAAGACAGCAGTGGCATCCTGCCATTGCATGTACAGAGATAGTCTATGGACTTGTGTGGCCCTGAAACCAAGATCCTAGGCTAATAACAAGAGAACACCTAACAAACCCCACCAAGGGATATGGGACAGAACATCCAATCAGTCCTCCCAACTGTCCAGGTCATCAGAATCCAGGGATGCCTTGGAAACTGTCACAGCCAAAGGAGCCTAAGGTGAAGATGCAGGCTGTCCTGTAACTCCCTGCACTGGCTCCACAATAATTCTGTAAATCTAAAGAGATTCTGCAATTTGTTTGTGATGTGTATGTATGCATGCAAACACATATATATGCATGGATGTGTGTATGTTTTGTGGTATGGGGGACAGAAACCAGAACCTCAAACACTTATTTTTTAAAGTTTAAAAAGGGGTTGGAAAGATGGTTCAGCAGTTAAGAGCACTTGCAGTTTCCAGAGGACTGGAGTTTAGTTCCCAGCACCCACGATGGGCAGCTTGCCTCTACCTCCCACTCCAGAGGATTCAACACCCTCTTCTGGCCTCTGAGGGAACCTGCACACATACGTGTATGTATGTGTACACTCACACACTCACACACATACACACAATATATATATATATAATCTTTAAAAAGTTTAAGAGAGTTATCATCAAAATAACCTATCCAGTTTTATTAGAAAACATGCCAAGTGGGGGAAGGGTTCCTTTGAGGAACCACAGGGGATTTGATAATTTACAAAGAAATGCTTTCCACAAAGAGCCAACAACACTGCACATCAAACCTAAGAGATGAGTCCCTGCCCATGGTGTAGGGTCTGTCGGGTCTGTCCTCTGGGTATACCTTGGCACCTCCTGTTACTTCATGTACTTGTCCTGCTGGTCAGCCAGGATCTTGGCTGAGGACTTGGCATCATAGAAGAGCTCGCTGATCTCCTCCACATGCTCCTTCTCAATGCTGTCCTTCCCATTAATCTTTGCCAGCAAGTTGGCCGGAGTCAGCAGCTGCACAGAATACCTACAGTGGATGGCACAGCAGAGTGAAAATGGGGCCACTGAAGGGAGCCCCCAAGTCAGCAGGCTATAGCACAGCCTGGCTATACAGTGAGCTCTGGGTGATGACAGCAGAAAACGAGTTGCCGCTACCCAGAAGAGCACTATAGCAACTAGAGTGGGGCCAGAGGCCACCAGGGGCAGGTGAGATGCTACTTAAATGCAAACTTAGATGTACAGTGGCTCCAGGAAGACATGGCCAAGTCAGATAGGGACATTTAATAAGCAGGAAAATCAACATAGCAACTGAAAGTACAACTGCTCATCCAAGGCATGAAACTTAAGTCATTAAAAGCTCTATTCTATCCAAACAAAACAAATAAGAATTCTGCCTTCAACCTCAAAAAAAAGCAACTGACTAAAGGGGCACAGGGAGGGTTCAGGATATATGAAGAACTGATTGTACAAGGAGTCAGATTTCACCAACGATTCTCCCAGGCCACTGGGAGCCATGGTAGAACAGCCTGGAAAGCATTAGGCTCCTGCCACCTGCCACTTGGAGCAGGCCCACAGGGGACAAGGGTGGGGAATGGGTGAAGGAAGGGTTTGCGCTCATTACAGGGCTTCCCATGACTAGGTCCTAGAACCATCTCTAGATTCTTGGCACTCTGAACTCAGTGCCTGGAGAAGGCTCACACCAGAGCAGAGCTCCAGTAGCCACATCCCAGCTCACCGTAGCGTGGTCTTGGTGCCGATCTCCCCCAGGTGGTTCAGTGCCTCCTCACTGATGTTGATGCCCTCCGTCTGAGCTCTGATTTTAATGATCTTTGGGGAGAAAAACACCATGGTCAGGTGTCCCAACAATATTTAGCATCTCATCCTGCTGGGCAGGTAGGCAGGTAGGCAGGAAGCTGCTGTCCTCCGGCACTGCTGGCCTACACTTCTGGAGGCATGTACCCCTCTAGTCAACCTAAACAGTGCTATGGTCAGGGACTGGGATCATCTGATTCCAGGGTACCCCATGCCCATGGCAGCTCACATCTGCCTTGGTCCTCCCCTCTGCTGTTACAGGGAACCCAGCCCACTCCCAGCCCTGCCTGAAACCCTTCAAGGCTCAAGCCTCCCTTGGCAGCTTGGGCACCACCACCTATGAGCATTCAGGCAAGAGAAGACATTTTTTATTTGCTTGATAAATACAATGGTTAAATAAATCAAAAAAGTTAGTTTTAAAGATTTACCAGCCCTCTTAACATCACTGGGATATCTAATCTATCAAGAGGCTGACGCTTGTTGCACTGAGCATCCTTGTGAGGCTAGAGGGGCAGCCGGCAGGCGGTGAGATGCTGCAGCAGTGGCACAGGGTCCCGCTGGCGCAGCAGCACTGAGTGATAAGGGCCAGTGGGATAATGATGTTGTGTGTTGCAGGGCTGAGATAACTCGAGGACTTCGAGCCTCATATAATACAGGAATTTTTCACTCTGGCAGCTTCGTAAACAAGATATCAAGAAGACCTTGTTTAAATTAAAGCCGTAAAAACGGCCAGAGTAGAGGCACAGGGCTGGAAGACACCAAATCCCAGCACTAGCCTCCTGAAAGGGAAAAGGAGAACAGAAGCCTGAGGCAGCTGTCTTCCAGCCCCATAGGCCTCTGCCAGGGGAGGCCAGCATGTTTCAGCTGCCCATGGACAGGAACTGTCCTACCATGAGCAATGTGGGGTTGAGGCCAACAGGTCAACATGTGTACCTGAAAGGCAGCCACTCCACAGGCAACCACTGCCAGTGCTGCCTTCATCCAGACAGGCTGCAAGCATCAGGTTGTAGGAAACACCTTGACGGGTCCAGGCACGTCCCAAACACTAGAGGCCACAAACCTATCAGCTATAGGGGTCAGGGGTATGAGCGCTACTGAGAGTCTGCTTATGCACAGGCTCAGCCAAGGGTTCAAAAGCAGAGGGGCAGCAGAAAGCAAGGTGTGAACAGCCCTGTTCCCCGCTTCCTCAGACAGCTGCATGACTAAAAAGCTGTGACTTGACAGCTGGATATGAAAGACCTTATGCCCACAGGAAAAATGGCCCCTCGGGAATCTTCTGGAACTACAAGAAGAATGAGGGTGACTAGTCAGTAGCAGAGCATGCTCTCAGCACGCATAAGGTCCTGGGTTCCATACCCAGAAACTCCAAAAATGAAAAAGTCCAGCGAGATGCAAATATTGAAAGCCAGACTTGGCCAAGAAGAGTGTACAGCCTGTACTACCCCTCAGCTGTGCTGGATCTGTGGCTTGGCTTCTTTCTGGAATGGTAGGGACATTTGCTCACACTGTCTCTAGAACTGGCCCAAACAATCATGGGAAAGCCCATCTGGACTTCTTGGAAATAGGCAGTTCATGAGTGAGCTCTTTGGTCACTTAATAACCTTCAGGGATAGTTTCTGAGAAGTCAGCACTGATGGCGCAGGGCTTGACTTATGATGAGTTGATCTGTATAAAACCTACCCCCAACTCCAGCAAAAGGTGATCCTTAGAGCCACCAAGGACAAAGTGAGACCCACACGGACAGACTGCCTGGGAAGAGGTCCTCATGGCTGGGCCAGGGGAAGTGGCCTGAGCTCTCATCAGTCACTGCATGGGCATGCTGGGGGAGGGGAGACTGAGCACCCATAGGAGCTTGGCTTGGGGCACTGGAGAGGATCCTAGCTTATCAATTGGTCTCTTTGTTCTCTAAGCTTCCAACTCTAACACAAAGCTGTTGAGGACCCTGGGGGTAGACCACAAAGCTGATAGAACAGCAACAGTGGCAGAGTAATGTTCACCCTGTTATGAGGTCACTTGTTACCCTCACTGTCTCACACAATTCCTGTGATAATCTTGCAAAGCAGGGAGAGGGTTTTCCTCATCACTCTCATGAAATCTGAATGACAATGCCACAGAGAGGGCTGAGGCTCAGAAAGGGGTGCCTGCTGCTCAAGTCACTCAGCAAGCAAAAGGAACACACAGACTGTGTGCATCACTGGCCTGACTGCACCTGTGCCGGCTGCCTTTCTTGGCATGACACAAGGATCTTGATCTCTACAGCAGGTGCTTCTTGGTCAGTGTTTGGTTTTGCCTCTGCTTCTCATCTGTGACTCCTTTGGCATAAGCCTGAGAGGAGATGGAACCTTCAGGACATAGGGCCTAGGGGGAGGAAATCAGGCCACTGGGGATGTACCCTTGAAGAAGGTATGGGAACCCCAAGCACTTCCTGTTTTTCTTTGCTTCCAGGCCACCATGAGGTAAGCAGCCTCATCTGCTACATCTTCCCATTATGGTACACTCGCTATACAGCCACAGGTTCAAAACAACAGGGCCAAAAGACTATGGACTGAAACCATAATCCTCAATTTTAATTAATTATGTAAGGTATTTTGTCACAGAAACTGCAAGACACTAAAGCAAGGGCCTTGGAGATCACTTCCTAAACTAGGGAAATGAGTGATACCATGAACCGTAACTGGTCATGGAGATGACACACTCAACTAGTATCACCATGACACTCCTGAACACTGTCAATGAGAATGGCAAGCTGCACAGGCCATAGATGAACAGTTTGCAGAGCACACAGGAGAGGCCCAGCAGCTTCCATTTAAAAGCCAGAGGACAGCCATACCCATCAGAGTACTCCAGCCACCGGGCCTATCCTAGCCTCCAGACAGCATTATAAGGTTGAGATGACTGTCTAGGCTAATTCAGTGTCTTTGGCTTTCTATTTCTTTCTTCCCTTTTGAGAGGGAGCCTTGCTATACAGTCTAGTCTGACCTCAAACTTGTGATCCTCCTGCCTCAGCCTGAGTGCTAGGATTACGGGCATGGTATACTATATCAGGCAACTACATAATATTTCCTTGTCCTTTTCTTTGGGCTGGTGGCATCCAGTGGCTGTCAAATACATGTTTTCTCTCCCTGAGCTCATTCAGAGAAGGGCAGATCTTCAAGGAACAGAGTTCTGATCCTTCTGAGAAGGATCAGTCAGCACAATCCATCTTTCAGTCTCAGGCCACAGACTTATCTAGGATGGCAAGCAAAACCCAGGCCCAGGCCAGCCACACAAGTCAGAGGTGGGGAGAAAGTAGGAGAGGGAGGAATGGGAGGCCTACCTGCTTCATTTCCTGTGGAGTATACAGCATGGTCCTGATGATCATCACCCGGTCCAGCAGGTCAAGGGGGATCCCATGTGGAGAGGTGACATCCTCAGTGCCCCTGCAAGGGTCAAAATTACTCCCATCACCCAATTTACACAGACAAGATCCTGGACATCAAACACATGAGTGGAAGCGGTCACAGCACAGAGCAGCTAGCGAGCACCCCTGGAGTATCAAGGCCAGGTGACTCATGGGAGTATCTTCATAATCCCAGTAATGGGAAGTTTAGGAAGGGGATACACCAAAAACAAAGCAAAACCAATACGTGCCAAGCTTTCAAATGCACATCTTCACAATTATATCTAGCACGCAAGATTTTATTTTTTTGTCTATGTTGCTTCAGTCTTAATAATCATATTTAACACCTACCTGATGGTGCACATCCATGAATTAGTTCCTCTGTACTGTCACAGTGCTCAACACAACCCTGAGTGAAGGATGACTTCCACAGAGGTATACAAGTGACCCAGTCTCAACACCACAGCCTGCACCAAACCTTTTCATTCCTAAATACTTGCTGCTTCCATGGTTCAGAAAAAGAAAAAAAGGTAACACCTCGATTCAGTTACATTTCCTTGGTTACTAATGAGACATTTGATGTTTTCCTTTATATTTACTATTTAATTTCTTTCTAAGATCTGTCCAAACACATCCTTTGCATGTTTTTCTCTTGGACTCACAGCCAAGCCCTAGCAAACAGCCAGGAGAGGAAGGCTGTCCACCTGCCAGGTCTGTGCCAGCTTCCTGAAGGGACACACACTGGGAAGACACTGGTGGCCCACAGGACAGACCAGGAAAAGCAATACTGGTTTAAAAAAAAAAAAGGATCCAACACCCTCTTCTGACCTTCTCGAGCACAGCATGTACATGGTACACTTAAATACATGCAGAAAAAGAAAAAAACTCTCATACACACAAGATTAAGAAAATTAATGATTAAAATGGGTCCAAAGAGATGGCTCTTGCTGCTCTTTCAGAGAACCCAAGTTCAGTTTTCAGCATTCATGTCAGGGCTCATAACTGCCTGTAACTCCAGCTCCAGGAGTTCTAAAACCTCTGGTCTCTGAGGGTACCTGCACTCATGTACATATATCCACCCACATACATATACATAATTAAAAATAAAATGTCTTTTAAAAATGGTTAAAACAGTGAATTTGAGGGCTGGGAATATAACTCAATTGGTAGAGTGCTTGCCTCACAGTTATAAAGCCCTGGGTTTGATCCCTAGCACTGTCTAAACTGGGTGTGGTGGTACACATGTGTGAGCCTAGGATTACAGAGGTGGAGGCAGGATTAGGAACTCAAGGTCATCATCAGCTATGGGAGCTGAAGGCTAGCCTGGGCTACATGACGTCCTTTTTCAAAATAAAGTTAAATTTTATACTGTATATATTGTATATTTACCAGAATAAAAGCAGTTTTAAAAAGAACAGGGTATATGCCCAGATGGTGGTACATGCCTTTAGTCCCAGCACTTGGGAGACAGAGGCAGGCGAATCTGTGAGTTTGAGGCCAGCCTGGTCTACATAGCAAGTTCCAAGCCAGCTAGGGCTACAGGGAGACTGTCTCAAAAAAGACAAAAAAAAAAAGAATAGGGTACATCAATAATCACCATAAATAATATAAGATCTTATGAAATAACTGTAGAGAAAACATCTTTTTCATGCAATATTTTTTTAAAACAATGTTTAAATTTTTTGTTGCTGAATTTCATTTCAGCTTTTTTAAAAGTTTATTTGGGAGTTCTTTGAGAATTCTGAGGACATCTTAAGATCTCAATCCTGTCATGTTAAAATATCCCAAGAACAAAAATATTCAAAATTCCACAGTCTTACTAGCTCCCTAATCAGACTTCAAAAGAGCAGACTTTATGGGAACACATTAAGAAACTTTCCTACAGTTTTGAATTCATAAACCTAAAGTTTAAACCAAAAGTCTATATAAAAGCTACTAAGGACTGCTAAGCACTTTAGAGTTGCATCTCAAGCACAAAGTTTCTTCTAAAATACATTTGTGGGAAATGGTTTGTGGAATTCCACCTAAGACAAGAAAAGAGCAGGAGTGCTGCTCAGTGGGTGGCTTCAGGGTCCTGTCTAGCGGCAGGGCCAGTGCCCACCAGTGCATGAACTAAGAATGGAGCAGAGCCATAAGAGCTACATCTTATTACAAAATTTTTAATAGGTTTTGATTAAAACTGCTCTTCCAGTAGATAGTTTGGGGTTTTGAGACCACAAGCCCAATGTGCCTTGAAATCAGGTCCAGTACCTCTGCAGGCATAAGACAATTGGGCTTCTAGAAACTTATCTACAGGTACACTTAAGACTTGTGCAAACAGGCTTTTCATTTGCAAACTCTCCACCCCTTGCAACTCTGGACTCTCCTACCAGGACACCACTGACTTATGAACCAGATATTTTCTCCCTTTTTAAAAATTTTTATTTTATGTGTATGAATGCACTGCCTGCATGCACGTAAGTGCACCTGTGTTGTGCAATGCCCCTAAAGGTTAGAAGAGGGTATTAAATTCCTCTGGAACTGGAGATGGTTGTTAGCCACCATACGGGTGCTAGGAATCAAACCCAGGTCTTTTGCAGGAGTAGCTAGTGCTACTGCTGAGTCATCTCTCCAGCCCCTAAACCAAACATTTTCTGTCAGGGGCTGTCCTGTGCACTGTGGGATGTTCAATGGCATCCCAGCCTCCACCCAGGAGATATCCACAGCATTGAGTTGTGCCAAGGAAAAATGTCACTAGATACTGCTGAGTATCCACAGGGGGCACCATGATCCCAGACTGACAATCAGTGCCTAACTGCTACTCTGCAATCCAGAACTAAAGGGACACAGGCACCACAAAGCTTTTCTACTGAGAAAAAGTATGGTAAACACCTGACAATTCAAAGGGCAATTCCCCTACAGCCACTCAGTAGACACAGTTAGAGGACAGCCATTTGATGTGGCTCCCAAGGCAACTCAATGAAAAAGAATGGTCATTTCAACAAATGGTTCTATGACAATAGAATATTTTTGTCAATGAATGAAGTTGAGCCTACCCCTTTTCTTAAGACTGTGCACAAAAATTAGCCCCAAATGATTCATAATTCAAGAGTTAAGCTGTAAATTCTAAGGAGAAAAAAAAGGCATAAGTAAACCTGTAACCTTAGGTCTGATGGTGCTTCTTATGTGAGCTGTGACCTTGGGTCAGATGGTGCTTCTTATGAGAGAGCAACAGCACAAAAAGCAGGTGAACCGGCTTCAAGATAAACTGGAATTTGTTGGGGGGAAGGGTGGTGCTAGAAATGGAAACCAAGGCCTTGCACATGCAAGACGAGTACTCTATTATTAAGCTGCACCTGCAGCTCCCCAAATTGGAGTTCTCAAAATTTAAAACTTGCGTCAAAAGTGTTAAATAATTCCTACCCAAAGATTGGTAGAAAATATTCAGATAGATAAAATAAAGGTCTTGTATCCAGAGTACTGCTCAATAATAAAGACAACCTAAATGAAAACTGGGCACGAACCAAGTGTGGTACTGCACGCCTATAACCATAGAACTTAGAAGGTAGGAAGATCAGAAGTTCAAGGTCATTTTTGGTTACATAACAAGTTCAAGGTCAGTCAGAGATACATGAGACCTTGTCTCAAAAAACAAAAGCAAGGCCTGGCTCAGCAGTTAAGAGCACTCTTGCAGAGGGTTCGAATCCCAGCATCCACATGGTGGCTAACAACTGTCCATAACTCCAGTTCCAAGGGATCTGACACTCTAGTCTGTCCTCTGTGGACACTGCACAACATGGGTACACTTACATAAATGCAGGCAACACATTCATACACATAAAATAAAAATAGGCCAGGTGTGGTGGCACATGCCTTTAATCCTAGCACTTGGGAGGCAGAGGAAGGCAAATCTATGTGAGGTCAGGGCCAGCCTGGTCTACATAGCGAGTTGCAGGTCAGCTGGGGCTACAAGGAGACACTGTCTTGAAAAACAATTGGTGTTGGCCTAGATGCCCATCAACAGACGAAAGGACTATTAAAAGGCATAGGTATGGGATAGAATCTGCCTCAGAAATAAAGAGAAATGAAATTCTGCCATTTGCAGCAAAATTTATGAAGTTGAGGATTATTGTGTTAAGCAAGGTTCACTAGGCACAGAAAGTATTGTATGTTTTCTTTCATATACAGAAACATTAAGGTGGATCTCTGTGATGTCTAGGTGACCCTAGTCTATGTAGGGAGTTCTAGGCCAGTTGTGGATATAGGAACCTTCTCAAAAATAAATAAATAAATAAATAAATAAATAATATAAAAGTAAAAAACATTAAAACAAAAAAAATCGGGGGACAGAACATAATAAGCATAATAAGCATTTCTCCAAAGATGCATAAGTGACTAGAGAAACACAAGACGATGCTCAACCTCCCTACCCATCAGAAAAACACGTATCAAACCAGAACACACTGGCTTCCTCTAAAGGAAATAGGTACTGACAAGTGCTGGAAGAATTGGAACATGGAACTCTACCCATTGCTGATGGTCTTGAAAGGCTGAGCAGTTACCATCTGACCCAGCATCCCCACTCCTAGGGGCATACCCCAAAGAAGTCATAACCATATCCACTTAGAACAAGGCAGTAACTTATTGGGGGTAGGAACGTAGGAGAGCAGGGTGCTTTCTGGAGGTGAAAACAGTGTTCCAAGGTTGACTGTGGAATTCCGTGAATATACTTACTACCAACTACTACAAACTTCCATTGTGTGTTATTACACATCAATATAACTTTTTTAAAAGTCCCATTCTGAGCCGGGCATGGTAGTGCATGCCTTCAATCCCAGCACTCGGGAGGCAGAGGCAGGCAGATCTCTGTGAGTTCCAGGCCAGCCTGGTCTACATAGTGAGTTCCAGGCCAGCTGGAGCTGCAGGGAGACCTTGTCTCAAAAAGATCAAAAAAAAAAAAAAAAAAAAAAAACCCATTCTGGGCATCTGCCACAAATTACAATGAAGGGAGATAACACCAACCTAAGTCTTCAAGATGCACTGGTGCAACAAGGTAACTTACCTTCAAAAATTCCTACCAATCCTAATCCCAGGAAGCCATGGCTCCATGGAAAAAGGAACACCCACATTCAGAGGTCAGATTAGTGCTAGATGCTCTCGTCTAACAGCTAACACTGCTGAAACCAAAGGGAAGGGACTCCTCAGGGCAGCAAGAAGGTGAGCTCTGCCTCCACCTCCTCCAGCATCCAGAGATAGGCCCTTTCCCAGAAGCCCAAGGAACCAAGAGGCCTAGGGATGAAAACTGCTATATGGCTCCCATATGCCTTATGCACACTGACCATGACCCAAAGGACCTGGGGGCAGTTTGCCAGGGCCAGGAGAGTCTACAACAAAGCCATGTGACTTGCTGTGTTCCCATAGGTCCCTGAGACTGAACCATACACAGGACACACCAGGCAGAGAAACAGCCTGTGATCCAGCACTCCAGGCCTGGCATGGCCAGAGCCTACATTCACCATTTCTCATCTCCATAATTTACAAGAATGATGCTGATGTTCCCCTTTCCTGGTGATGGATGAGACCAGGATGACGTTCAAGGTCATGGGCTTCCATCCAATTGACATTTTCCTTGTGGGAACCAGGCTAGTGCTAGAATTCATGCCCCAGAAAATATAAGGCAGCAGGCTCACTTCTGAAGTTCAGCCTGCAAAGTCACTTGACACAGAGCTGCTAAGATGGCCAAGAAGGTAAAAGCAAGGCACCATCTGCAAAGCAGCATCGTGGTGGCTTTGTTTCCACAGCAATTATATGAGAGTCAAATGTCCTCTGATGCCAAATCCATGTGATGCCACGCCCATAGCTGTGTAGCTGCTGGCTATCCAGCAGCCACTGGTTAGCAGGTGGTTCAAGAGGATCATATGGATTTTATAGCAACCTTCTCTCTCAAACATGAGAACTTCTAGCTTGTGGCCTAGAGTTAGGAGATAACCTTACCTGCCTATAAGTAACAGGGTGTCCTGACATCGCTTGACATGGCCCACACAGAGGTGTCTAGAAAGCTTCTGACACAGAGAAAGTCATCAACAATGTCACCATCTACTCACACTGCTGGTATTCTGGAAACTGCCATCTTTGAGCATGCTACCCAAAGCTTACTGAGAGCCTGGGCTCTGGAATATATTCCAGACTTACAACTCTTCACCCAAACCCAAGCCTTGCTACAAGCCATGTGCATCCCTGGTACTCAGCTCAACAGTGAGAGCCCAGGCTCTGCCCAAGGACAGCAGCAGTGCAGTGTACTAGAGCAACCCCACTAACACTCAGTACCAAATCCGCTTTCTAGAGCTCGCACAGCTGGCCAGAACATCACTCTCATAGGCAGGCTGGGATCAAGGGCTCCTTCCTCCTGGGTAAGATCTGGCATCTGAGGCTGAGAGCTGCTAGCCTCTGAGGGCACTTGTTGGGCTGGGTTAGCCACTAAGGAGGACAGGAGTTTGTTAATGGAGCTCCCAGCAGGGGGCACCATGTATCCATGCAGAGCCCCTTCACACTAAGCTGCTAAGGAAGCTGGGCCTGGCCAAGGCAGGGCAAGGCCAGCAAAGTAAGTCTTGGATTAAGCAACAGGTGCCAGGTTTCCTGGGCACAAGGCCCACATGTATCTAGCCCCCAGATGCTGCTCAGGTGGCTCTGCTCCTCTCCAGAAGCTGGCCTAAATCTGGCACAGCAGCTTTCCCCAAGACTATAGGAAGTTCATCGTGATGGTGGTCTTATCCAGATGGCATCACAGGGCTCCAGAATGGCTGCATGATGCTGCCACATGAACTTGAACCATTCACATACATCCCAATTGCAAGTGGGGTGAGGGGAACAGCACAGGACAAGGTTGGCCTTTTGTTGTAATGTGGTAGTGGTCACAACACTGCTCTTTGGGAGCGTGCCCAGGACCAGCAGCCCTGGGTATGTACAATCTTAGTGGAGATAAAGCTTCTTCAGCAAGAGCCAGAGAGGACATTCTTATATGTGGTCCACTATCGTAGACAGACAAGCACCAGCAGTCTAGGCTTCCAACTCAGTGTGGCTCTAGCTGTCCTGAGTACTCATGGGCCACAGAATCGATCCTATTCCAGTTTCCAATGCCCTCTGCCAGGATTATGAATCCCATACAACTGCTACAGGCTTGATTAGAGGCCCTTCATGTCCCAACACCATAGAAAACAGGCCCAAGTGTCCCATACGACCACAGAAAACCTCTAGGACACTGTAACTTCAAGTACTCAGAACCCAACACTGGCCTGGCCTGGCCTGGCCTGAGAGAGAAGCTGGAACATCTTTTGTGGCTCAAAGTACTTAGGAGAAAAAGGAACCCGGGAAAGCCCTCCATCCCAGCTTCAGACCCACAATGGCAGGGACCCTATGAATGCCCACCATCCAGGGATCAACTGTGCCTCCCAAGGGGGCATGAGGGAGGAGGGCCAGCAAGTTATCAGGAAGGTCTTGGGAAAGACCTGAGACTTGTCTCGATGACAAGGGCAAGTTACAATACCATCCACTCACTTGAAAAAGTGAAGCTAGGAGGGCCCATCTTTAAGTAGCAGATATGAGTCAACCAACCCATGAGATGCCACCAAAAGTATCCCTGTGTGACCATCCCTTTTGCACACTCCAGTTCTATGATCCCAAAGACCACTAAGGAGACCTTCCTCATTGGGAGCAGGATGGGGCCTCTGGTGACACTGTTGAAGCACAGCTGGGAGACAACTTTGCTCTTGCCTCATCTGCTCAAGGGGCACCAGGTTAACTGAGCATAGGGAGGAAAGGTGCCCAGAAGGAAGGTGGAAAGCTTTGGGGTTAGCAGAAGGAGCTCTACCTGATGACACAGTTGCCTCGGTTGGATGCAAAGATGACGATGGGAGCAATGGAAGATTCCAGGGCTCGGTGAAGGTAGGTAAAGCACTCGATGTCCAGCATGTGGACCTCATCAACAAATAGTACTCCAGGAACCAGTTCCGCGACGCCCTGATCAATGTACTTGTTCACCACCTTGTTGATCTCCCCTCGCAGTTTGTCTAGATGTAGATGGCAGGGTCAGCAACCAGTAACAGCTTCCGCTCTGACTTCCATCCAAACCCACCCTTGCAGACTTTTTCCTCCCAGCTACAAGGCCCTAACAGAGCCTGGCCTTACTCTAGGCTTCAGTGACAGCATCTCAAACAGGAACAAACATACTCAAAGGCCACAAAATTGACAGCTTTCCCTGAGGTTGTTTGGTTAACTCTGAGACATAGTTGCACACAGGAAGATCATCACAGTCCCCACCCTGCCTTACTAAATCACTCTCCCAATCTGATGATCCAGCTCCTGATCTCAGAGACTAGCAGATCTGGGAGCCCAAAATGATAGTTTTCATATGCAAATTTTCCTGTTTAGTGCATAGTAACTGACCCTGTCTTATGGCCCTATATGACAATGCTTAGGTTAATTAATTTTCAATCAAAGCAGTCTCAATCCTCTCTGGTGGGAAACTGGTCTCCAGCTGCTAGATGACAAGGCTTTCCAGAAGCACATAACCCACCCCAGGTCACAGCCCAGTCCAAACCAACTCCTACATTGTCACCAGGAGAGGTTTGTCACAAAACAGAACTGGAAGCCCTGATATAGTTAGTTACTGCCTCTTCCACCAAATCTACTAGGCAGGGACTACCAGAGAATAACACGCAAGGCCAGGGCAAAAGACAGCAGCTGCAGCTGTGCACACATCTGTGATACCAGCACTGGAGAGGCTGAGGTAGGAGACACAGAGTAAGACCCCCATATCAAACACCACACAAAACCAACCCCAAACCAAAACCCAGATAGTGCTGCTCTTGGGCTTAGAAATAAATGTCTCAGGCTCCTCCCCTGGCTAAAACCTCCATTTTAAGGTGACAAAGTCATAGTCACTGGCTAAGAGGACACAGAAGGTAGGAAGAGACGTGGGTACAGAAGAATACACTGGAGCAGAGCACTGGGCAGGGACTAGGAAGCTGAGCAGGGTGGTGGAAAGTAGCACTACCACGGCAGTAGAACTTGCCCACTTCTCAACTTCTCTGAGTCCTAAAGCAACCAGAAACCGAGTACACAGAACCAGAGAGCAGAGCAGTGGCTGTCCAAACAAGACAGGGCAGGTTGAGTTCTGACCATGAAGCCATCCCCAGGCATACTTGGTTTAGAGGTCTGTCCAGAGCCAGAGTTTGACATCCAGGGCCCTGACCCCACTTGCAGACTCTGAAGCTGGTGAATGCTCTTACCTGTGATCTCTGTCTTTTTTGGTTTCATCAACTGGCCCATCATGGACAAGATATCTTGTCCCCCCTGCAGAAGAGAAGACTCATTGTCAGCCATGCTGTCTCAGAAGGCCACCAAAGCCTAATTCCAATGCCTCCTGTAGGTCTCCAGAGACTCCAATACACCTCCTCTAGAAAGCATGACAAGTTTCTAAATACAGAGGAACTTCCACAGGTTGTCTGGTTCCGTAAGAAGTTCTTTCCACTGGAAGCATAAGCCTGGAAGGCCGCCTCCTCTCCCCACACAGCTTTTAAAATTCTTTACTCCTAGATTAGCCACATAGAACCATGAACTTGCTCCTGGACACAAGCTCTTTTATGACTCAAAGTTTTGGCATAGTACATTCCATCTGCCAGGAATAGGAAGCCCCAGGACTCTGTGATGCTTAGGCCCCAACACAGTTCCTACCTTATTCCTGACCGGGTACTTGACCTAAGCAAAGGTTTCTAAAGAGGTCAGCTTGGAGACCAGATATCCTCTCCTAAGGGGCCTGCTGGTCCCAGACCAGTGTAGCAGTTTCTTGAACAAAGCCTCTAAGGACCCATTCTTAACTCCTGTGAAGAGGTGGCCTAGTGAGGATGAAGACAATGCAACTTGAAAACAGGAAACAGGTGGCCTCTGGCTCTGTCAATCATGTTTCTCAGAAATATCTTTATGGAACAACATCATTTCCTAGAGCTGTCAGTCCAAGTATAAGTATCCACACTCTGTCTAGAGAGCAGACTCAGTTCCAGCTCAAAGCTAAAGAAACCAGGGCCCTGCTAAGTGGAAGAAAGGACGAAGTTGTGCCAGGCTTTCTGAAACCCTGTGAGGGTTCACAGAGCACCCCTGCCCTCCCACCACTAATACTCAAAGCATGCAGACAAGAGCCACTGCTGGAGAGAAACCAGGGAGGAGGATGGCTAGCACAGGGCGGGAGGCTTGGCTGAAGAAGAAACAGCCCAGGAAATCATCTGTGACTGATGCACAAGAATGGGAACAAAGGATTCCAGCGTAGCTCATGTCCATGTTAATTGCTGAACATCATAGACAGAAAAGGAGCACCTGCCTTGGAAGTGGTGGCAAGACCTCACTGATTCTCCCCAGAACTTCCAGGCACACACAAGAGGAGAGTGTGCTGTTCACAGCAGTGTACCAGTACCTGAGGCCGTGCATTGGCCACATCCAGGTCATGCAAGGTCACATCCTGGATGATTTCCTTTTTCTTGTGCACATCCCCCTTTGGCAAGGGCACATACTCTTCGGCTTCAAGGTCAAACTCAGTAGCATAGGTGTCACACCTGCCCTGCCTCTGCAGAGAGAGAAGCATGAGTGTTAGGTGGGTTTTCACCACCAAGACCCCAAGTGGCAGAGTGAGTGCTCAGTGAGATAATGGGCTTGGTTCCCAACTGCAGCCTGACAATAACGGCCTCCCTGATGCGCCCGATCCCAATATGCCCACTACCCTGCTGCCAAGAGAAAGGAGCTATCAGCAGGTTGGAGACACCAGATACTTTCTCCAGAGTCCCCCAACACTCACAACTGCATGCAGCTCCTGATAAAGGGCAAATCCAGTAGATTAACTGGAGACAGAGGGAGCTGCTCAGACTCTTTTGTAGGTGGGTGATTTACTGCATGATATGAAGTATTATGCTCATCCATTAAACAGTGAGCAACACTGTACAGGATACTGGGGATCAGATAGGAAAAGAATGCCAACTAATGCTGCATTCCTTCCCACATGCATATATCTTGGGAAGAAAATACCACAGAGATAAAAGGAAGATTAAATACACTGCACATTTCAATTTGAAAATGACTAAAGTTGTTTTGGTTTCTTGCCCTATACTCCCCCTTCTAAACAGGTTTTTGTATTTCTCTAACAGACTGTCTGTTCTCATGAGAAGGTTAAAGAATGAAGATAAAGGAAAAGAAATTTTAGTATACATAGACAACACTGCCCTTCCAACGGCATTGTGCCAGATGCCAGGCCCTCCACCCATAGCACTCAGGTCTTCCCATGGCACACAAGTCAGGCATAATACTCTGTCCCAAGAAGGGTATTACCTTCACAGCCCCACTGTTGGCTTCAATATAAATCACATCTCCAGCCTCTACTCGCTCTTTCTGCAAACTTTCAAAAATACTAGGGTCCAGCTGAGGAAAAAACAAAACAAGGGTGATTTAGAGAGCTGCAGTGCAGAGTTTACTTCATTCTAACATGTTGCAAGATGCCTCTCCGTGGGAAATCAGGGACTGGCAACCTTCAGCAGTGTCCAACAGTGGGGAATGTGAAAGCAAGGGTTTGATGCCACACAGCTCATTAGGGCTAAGCGGTCCAGGAAGAGGAGAGTGGGCTTTCAGGACAGTCAAGGGGCACCAGGACATCACTGGCCTTCCTTGACTTCAGAGGCCAAAAAAAGAGCAGAGGGCTCTTAAAAGGATGGTTCTAGATGCCTTTATATGAGCCATGCTGTCCATGGGACCAAATGCTCTAACACCCATCTCCAGTTAACTGTCTTGTACCCCTTCCCTCCACTCATGCAGTTGTGGAACTTTCTACTACAGAAGAACTTGCCAGTACCTGCTTACCAAGCTGGTGTTCTGTAAGGCCTGTGCGTCTAGACAAGTATTCTGAGCCTGTTTTCTCACCTACAGAACAGCATGCGGGCACAATCATGAATGCATAAAATTCAAAAGATATAAGCCAGAACTCTCCCAGGCTTCTGCATCAAATCATGGGCAATGACATTCTAAGGATTTGGTTTTAGACACATATCTCTCTAGGCTAAACTTCAAACAGAACTATGTTATACAATGTGGTTGTGGTTGGAAAACTAGAGTACTATCCTAAACAAAATTAAAGAGTAAAACCCAGGGCTGGGTAGAAAAAGCTAGACATAGAAAAAAAAAAATGTTGTATGGTTCCATTTCTGTGAAATGTCTCAAAAGGCAGATCTAGAGACAGAAAGTGGTTTAGTGGCTGCCTAAGGCTAAGGGTGGGACTGGGAGGGACAAATGGTGGCATGAGGTTTCTTTTGGGGGTGATGAAAATGTTCTAAAATTAGATTGTGATGATGGCTGTATAACTGGGTAAATACATTAAAATGTCTTAAGCTACATACTTAAAAATGAATGAATTACATTTAAAATTAAACTTCAATGGAACTGCCAGAAAACAGCCACCTCAGGTGTAAAGACAGGGCTCTACCTTGATGGCTGGGTCGGGGAAGACAGCCACCTGGGCACTGGAGGACAATGAAGTACACAAGGCAGGCCTGGTGGGAGGGAGGGCAGGGGCTAGACAGGGAAGCACCTTGCTCAAACTCTAAATACCCCCCAAGTGTCAGGTCCATCTATCCAGTATCTTCTACGTGCTACAAGTATATAGAAGTAGGCACATTCAGGAAATTTTTACCTTCTCCCTTATTTTCTTCAAGGAAACTGAGCAAAGCAGCCTTAAGGACAGATCAGATTTAAGCTGCAGACCTTCTTACTTAAGATACACTGAAGAATATACCTTCTTATTTATTTTTTTGCCTCAAGTATTTTTATATGGGTTAATTTCCCAAATGAACTGACTGAGGGCGTAAATTACTGGAAAGGAACCACATCCTACTAAGAAATCTCATCAATAAAGAATGTAGGCATGGGAGGTAGGTCAACAGACATTTGCTGGGGCAGCTCCCAGTAGAGAACCTGTGAGGAAAAAGAAAGATGGGTCTGTAAAGTGACTTTTTGTGCTCTCCATAAAGTAGTGACCAAGAAACCTCACAGAACCAAAGAATGTGAAAAACTGGAGTGGAGTGGAGATGAGCAAGGATGGCATGGCTGATCTAGCAGTTTATAGAGAAGACTGAATCCCACAGTCTAAATGCCTTCCTGAAGTCACACAGCAAGTTACAGGGTAGACAGTGTAATGGTTGGGATCAGAACCAACCCTGCCATGCAATCTGGATGGGAAACTGCAGGATAACTGTCTGGCCTCTTTATGAGCTGCTGGCCATTTGCCTCTAAGTGAGGAAACCTGGTGTCTGCACACATACAAGCTGAAAATAGAGTAAGTCTTTACTGACTTACTCTATTGTAAGTCAAGCACATACCATCAATGAGGTGTAACAATGATGTTTACTAGTCATTGTACTAACGACAGTAAAGCCAAGCTCCATGACACAGACATGAATGGCCACCTCTCATTATGGATCTAAGTGCCATGCCCAGAACTAGAAGTTTCATCCTTAGGGCACTAGTTAGCATTTCCAGGTAATAGACAGGCAACTGCTCAGAGACCAAGTTATTTGCCAGTAACGTAAATAGCAGAGACAAGATTCCCTTTAAGACTCACACTCTAAAGTCTATGCTCTTCTTGCAAGCACCATGACTTGTGTCTTATAGGCTGATAGGACAATCAAAAAGGCATAAAACCCTGCTCGGTATACTGCAGGATTGCAGCTCCAACACATGGGATCAGGGAGCTACTGTTAGGAGCCTTTGGCCCACCAAGCTGTCTGCTCCACACCTCTTCAGATTTCACAAGGTGCTGCTTTCCACATGTACCAGAGGGCCAGAGCCTTGGATATTAACATATGAGATATGGGACGGCAGAAGCAGATTCTTCATTTACCCACTGTGCTGGACAGCTTTAGTGTCAACCTGACACACCTGGGTTGAGGGAGCCTTCACTGGACTGGCCTGTGGCCGTGTCCATGGGGCACCTTCTTGATTGTTGAGTGATGTGGGAGGGCCCAGCCCACTGTGGGTAGTGCCACCCCTGGGCAGGTGGGCCTGTGTTGCATAAGAAAGCAGGCTAAGCAGGGGCCAGGGGAGCAAGCCAGTAAGCAGCATTCCTCCATGGCCTGTGCTCCAGCTCCTGCCTCCAGGTTCCTCCCTGATGAACTGTGACCCTGGATATGTAAGCTAAATAAACCCTTTCCTCCCCAAGTTGGTATTAGTCAGAGTGTTTTGTCACAGCAATGGAGAAACAAACTAGGACACCCACTTAGCTCATATTTTAACATCTATGTGTAATTCTCTAGGAAAAAGTAACAGAAGTAGCACCTATAGTAACTAAGCCCTCAGGGGGCCAGGCTCTGCACTAGATCCTATTTTATCACCTAATATCCTCTCACTGAGCTATGTGGCATCCATAGCCACAGTGCATAGACCTAGCACCAAAACAAAGGTCACACCACTCCTTGGAGCCATACAACACTGGGAGGTATTAGAAGAGCTGTTTTACTCACCTTCAACTGTTTGGTTCCTTTGGCAGTCTTGAGCCCTATGATCACATGGCTGATGGTTTTGCCGTAGCCCCCCATGGGGTTCTCTGTCTCACAGGGAGTGAGCTCTGTTACCTCACCTTCGTAAACCTCCTTGGTTTCCTTTATCCGCAGCCCTGGAAGAAAAGGCAAATGAGCCAGAGTGAGCCCACTCACAGTCTCAAACTCTTATCTACAAACATCCATGACCAACCAACCTCAACAACATTAAGTTCAAGGACAGAAAAGCAATACAAACACAAATGCAAGCTGAAGGGGTCAGTGAGAAGTGAAGAGTGATTTGATTTCAACTTTTAAAGATTTTTCAAAAAATTATTTTTATTTTATGTGCATGAGTGTATTCCCTACATGTATCTAAGTGCACTCGTGTCATGCAGTCCCTGTGGCGGTCAGAAGAAGGTGTCAGATTCCCCTGGACCTGGAGTTACAGACAGTTGTTAACTGCCATGTGGGTGCTGGGAATTGAACCTGGGTCTGTATGAGCAGTCAGTGCTCTTAACCACTGAATCATCTCTCCAGTCATGCAGTGTCTGTGGAGGTCAGAAGAGGGCATCAGATCCCCTGGAACAGGAGTTACAGAGAGTTGTTAGCTGCCATGTGGGTGCTGGGAACTGAACTCAGGTCCTCTGCAAAAGTAGTCAGTGCTCTTTACTGCTGAGCCATCTCTCTAGAGTCTTTATTTTAATTAAGTATATACATATTGTATCTATGTGAGGATGTTTGCATCTGAATGGGTACAGGTGCTTGCTGAGGCCAGAAGAGGGAGTAGGACCTCCCTAAGCTGGTGTTATTGGCAGTTATGAGCTACCAGATGAAGGTACTGGGAACCAAACTTGTGAAGGTCCAAGAACAACTGTGGGAATAGGTTCTCTCTTTCCATCATGGGAGTTATGGGCACTGAAATTAGGTTGTCAAGCTTAATGGCAAATGCCTTTACCTAGAGAGCCCACAGCCATCTTACTGGCCTTGATCTCAATTTTTTTTTTTTTGGCCCGGGGTGGGGGTGTCTTTTTGAGACAGGGTCTCCCTGTAGCCCCAGCTGTCCTGGAACTCACTATGTAGACCAGGCTGGCTTTGAACTCACAGAGATGCCTCTGCCTCCCAAGTGCTAGGATTAATGGCGTGCGCCTCCACTCCCGGCATGATCTCAACTTTTTAAGAGGACTTTCTGGATTCAAATTCAGAACTATAGACACACAAACTACCATTCTCAACATTGCCCTTAAAGCTATACTCCCAAGGAGTGAAATCTGCTTTGAGCTGCTAACTACTATAAATCCAGGGCATCCTACTCCATCAGTCAATAACCTCAAAAACTGTCCCTTGTCTTCTGCTTTTCTGAACTCTCAAAGAAACCCTTAAAACAGAACCTACTACCATCTTATGACATCCTCACACTTGAGTAAGGGATCCTGTAGCCATGGCAGGTGACCCTCAACCCTGCCCTGTGTTCTCAGGGTATGGGAGCTCATCAACTCTAAAGCCCTCCCACCTAGCTGGAAGACCAGCACCTCTCTGAGCCATACCCCACTTGGCCCTGTGAAACTTCCAGGGTCAGTGCTCAGCACTTCACAGACAGGCGACCAGGTCAACATTCTTCCTTCCCTGACAGACCAAGTGCTACAGATCTCTGGAGGGCAGCCTCTCCTCACTCCAGGTAACCTGGGTTCACCAAGCTGGCTTTCCCCTCTGCCAGCCCTCATGTGGAGCTGGTCTCTATCTAATTTGTTTTATAAACAGTCTATCTGCATCCTGATTCAAGTAAGGAGTGTTATCAGCATGTGCCACTTACAAGACAAAGGAAATGTGGAAACTAGGTATTTGACAATAAGGAAGAATTACTATTCATTTTTATAGGTGTTTTTAAGTTCCTGTTCTTGAAACACGCATACTCAAATATATACAGATGAAAAATTTGTGAATGAAAAGGCAGATAGGCGAGATGGCTCAGTGGGCAAAGGTGCCCGCTGCCAAGCCTGACAACCTGAGTTTGACCCTTGGAGCCCACATGGTAAAAGGAAAAAAACAACTCCCACAAGTTGGCTTCTGATATCTCTCTCTCTCTCTCTCTCTCTCTCTCTCTCTCTCTCTCACACACACACACACACACACACACACACACACACAATAAATAAAAAAAATAAGTAATGCAAAAACATTTTTTGAAGCAGATGTGAAATTTGCTTCAAAATAATATTGAGGGGGACTGATGGAGCCCTGTGTCATCACAACTAGCTGTGAGTTGAAGCTGGTGGCAGAGGGACCATTTGATGACTTTTGTATTTTCCATGGTAAAAATTAAAAAGAAAAACTCCACAACCTCCTAAATGCAATACTGGAAAGACAAGAGTTCTTTGGTCTGAAAAGTTACGTGAACATCTATGCTCTGCTGGTGGGAGTGTAAAGGGTACCACCACTTTAGAAGCACATGGCAGATCTGCTATAACCTATCACCTGTGGATACATGCCCAACAGCATGGGTTCAGACATGCACTAAGTGACACAGGCAATGATGGTCACAGCAGCATCACTTAAATTGCCAAATAAATCTATCTACAGTGGAAGAGAAAACTACACTCACACAAGGGACTACCACATGGCAATGAAAAAGTTATGGTTACATGCAACAGAGAGGAGGAGGCTAACACTGGGTAAGAATCCAGCACAGAGGAAAATACAACTGGATGACTATACTTATCTAAGTTCAAAAGCAGGCATAACCACACTGTAAGACCAGTGTAAGAAGACCAGGGAAAAGGAGAGGACACCAAGGGTAATTTGGAACTTGGGCTTCTGGCAACATTATCGTTTTGGTAATTGCTGGTTTCAGGAAATTTCACTTTTGAAAACACAGATGTTTTATGCATTTTTCTGCATAGTTGTACAAAATTACAAAGTCAATTTAAAAGGCAGGGTGTAAATGAGCATCACTGGTGGGACCTGTGAAGGAGCACTGTGGCTGAAGTTCAGGACACTGCTCTGCTCCTCTACTGGGCTCTACAGACATGGTTCTCAGCCTCCAGACCCACTGAAGGGGCAACTGAGATCCCTCAGGTCATCTGCACCCATGCCATATGCCTCAGAATCTCAGGGGTTGAGTGACCATCATCAGCAGTTTAAGAGCCCTAGAAAAATCCCAAAATGAAGCCTTATCTAAAGAGTAAACAAAGTCCCCCCTTCTTCCAGGCATGGGCATAAACTGCTCCTCATCATGGTGCCTTGTGGTTTGGGTGTCCTCATCACTCAGTTCCCAATTCTGATATTGAACTCTCACAAGGCACAAGGTCACACTGGCAGGGTGTGAGGCACTCCCAATCACCTCCCCTCTCAAATGTGGTCATTATCTTATCACGGCTGGGTGCCAGCTTTCCCCCAGAAACGCAAACAGTCCAGTTGAGGGGAGCTCTGCTCTCCTTTCATCCACCTGATAGCCTGCAAATGGAGGCTTTGGAACAGCCCCAAGCAAGGAGCACAATGTCGCTTTGCTTACCAAATTCTCAGTTCCTGAATATCAGGACAAGAAGGCTCCAAACATCAATACATCAGAAAGTTATGAAAAACCCAGAAAATTTTGTCCTTTAGAGATAGAATGTTTATCAAATCTCATGCATCCCCTTGAGAAAAGCTCCCTTGGATGGAATGTTTACCTCCATTTACTGTCCCAGCACTGCAACATGGAATTCCTGAAGGAGGGGCAGAGGCATGCCCATCTCTCACTAGTGCCTCTATTTGTTTAGAAGTTGCTCTGTGTTGACAAGCAGGCAGGGAATGTGGGTGACAGACAATGAGACCAGCTATTTGCCAGGAAAAGGGCTGAGCTGGTGCTATCTCTGGCACCAATGACACAAATGACACAGGTTTCATCTGCTGGTTCAGGTTTCTGAATCTCTGACAGGGACCTTCATCACATCAAGGAAATAGCACAGACTCCTGGCTTTTCATTTCTGGTCAGCTTATGGCTTCCTCCCTACCCCCTCCGCCAACAATACTGGAATTCAAAGGAACAGAAACAGGGAGACGGCAGGCCTCCTTTCCAAGGACAGTTGATGGCCTGCCTTTTATTCTGTGCAAGATCAAGAAACTTCTCTTCACCTGTTGCCATCAAAACATCAGCACCACCTCTTCCCCTCAGAAATGCTGTGCCTGGTGCCAAGGTAATGCATTTTTCACATCTGAAAGCATTAAAGTTATCTTCTAGTAATCCAAGCGTATGCACCCACATGTAGTCCAGCTTGCCAGATTTTATCAGTCAGTAAAATGTTTTTAAACAAATTTTAAAAATTTAAAACCATTCAAATATTTAAAGCAGACGAAACATCTTACTGCTCAAATAATTAATGAGTTAAAGGAGACTACTGGCAGCTGGGTGTGGCCCAGACCTACAATCCCAGCACTAGAAAAGGTGAGGCAGGAGGACTGAAGTCAAGGCCAGGCTGGGCTACACAGTGGGATCTTGTCTCAAAACCAAAATATAGGAAAAGGAAAAAAAAAAAAAATCACACACACACACACAACACGCACGCACACACCAGCAGGATAGTTCAGTAGGTAAGAGTGCTTGCTGCCAAGTCTGACGACCTGAGTTCAATCCCCAGGACCCACAAGGTAGAAGGAGAGAGAATGGACTCCCACAAATTATCCTGACTTCCACAAATGTGCTGTGGTGTGTGCATGAGCCATGTGCGCACATGTACACATGCACATACACACAAAAAATGTAATAAAAATAAAATAACAACTAAGAAAACAAACAGTTCCATAGTGGGGGGGGGCAGGGACATGACAGGGGAAGGAAATGGAACAAGCACTGGGGTTGGGGGGCAGCACTCACTACCTGCTGTGCCCATGGGGACTTGAGCACCCTTCAAGAGGCCAAAAGTAGGCTCACGTGACACCGTCCACACTGGCAACTAATTCCACATTTGTAAGAAACACTGTGCCAAGAAGCCACAGCATCTGTCCACTTATCACGCATGAAAGCAGACCTGCCTGCCTGATTTCCTTTCTTCCACTCTGTGCTTTCTGTTGTTTTTTAAAGACAGGGAGGGTCTCAGCTGTACATGGTGGCACACACCTTTAATCCCAGCACTCAGGAGGCAGAGGCTGGTGGATCTCTGTGAATTCAAGGCCAACCTAGTCTACATAGTGAGTTCCAGGCCAGCTGGGACTACAGGGAGACCTTGTCTCAAAAGGCCAGCTGGGACTACAGGGAGACCTTGTCTCAAAAAACAAACAAACAAAAAAAAAGGCTGGGCTTGGTGGTGCACACCTTTAATCCCAGCACTTGGGAGGTAGAGGCAGGTGGATCTCTGGGAGTTCAAGGCCAGCCTGGTCTACATAGTGAGTTCCAGGCCAGCTGGTGGGGCTACAGGGAGACCCTGTCTCAAAAAGAACCCCCCCCCCAAAAAAAGACAGAGTTACCCTTCCTGCACCATCTCCTTCTCAGACTCCAGTGGCATTTTTGATGCCAGCCCCCAGCAAGGGGGAACACTGCAGAGCTGGAACCAGAGCCCACAGGTACTCCAACTGTTTTGGCTTTTGCTCAGGGTAAAATCCAAAGTCCTGACACAGGCATTTGGCACCAGTCTACCTTAACCTCTGTTTTCATATCCCCAGTGGTCCAGCTCAACAAGTAAAACTGAGTTCAGTCCTCAGACCTTATATAAAGGTAGAGGGAGAGAATCAGCTCCACAAAGTTGTCTTCTGACCTGTACATACATGCAGCATGAGTGCCTATACACCATGTATACCCACACACATGTGACAATACAAAAATTCTTTTTACAGGAAAAAAGCACTTTTCTGGGAGCTAGAGAGACTGCTTAGTGGGTAAAAGTACTTGTTGTGCAAGCATGAAAACCTGAGCTCAGATCCCAGTACCCATGTATAAAGCACACCTGTAATCCCAGCACTGGAGGGAGTTTGGAGTAGAGATAGAAGGATCCCTGGGGCCCACTGGCCACTATCTTAGCTCCAGGTTCAGCAAGAGACCCTGTCTGAAGGGATAAGGCAAAGAGTGATAGAGCAGGACACCCAACATTCTTTAGCCTCTGCACACACACTTGTATACAACACACACATAAACAACCCCCCTTACTTTTCTGGGTTTAGCAACCTGGTAGAGGTGCTCTGGCTAGTGTCCATAATCCACACTCAGCAGGTATGCCCCAAAGAGATAGTCACAGATGCACAAATGTTCCAGAGACACATGAGTGTGCACTCAGCAGCCTGCTTTTTGAAGAGCAAAACCTGAAAACCAATCTAAATCAGTTTAACAAAGGAACTACCACACAATGGTCAAAGGAATTCATGTTTCCATAGTAATCTAGCACTAGACCAACAAAAACAGGGCTTGACAATCTGCCTAGAAATCCCACAGTAAGAGTGCATTTAGGAGAGGCCCTTTTCTGCTACAGCCTACAGAAGGCAGGCAGATCTGAGTTCACACTGTCTGCTGTCACTTACTAGTCAAGTCACTGGCTAAATCATTTAAACTTTCGAAGACTCTATTTCTGTAAATGCTAAATGCAGACAGAGAAACTTGTCTAGGGGAATGAATAGCATGGCACACAGAGGGTTCCCCTGGTGGGAGCCCAGGCCCTAGGAGGCTAGTCCTCAGTGTCCTCACTTTGACAGGTCACAGCTCCTCTAGCCTGCCACTGAGGACTAGGGGCTATGGCTGCTTAGCACACGATTAGCTTGTAAAACCTATTCATGGAGAGCCATCTCAAAACGCAAGGCAGAAAACCTAACTTGTGCTTTAAAAAAAAAAAGGGCTAGAAAGATGGCTCAGTGGTTAAGAGCACTGGCTGCTCTTGCAAAAGACCCCCAGGTTTGATTCCCACCACCCACATGGTGGCTAACAACTATTCTATAACTCCATTTCCAAGGGACTTCAACACCCTCATCTGAGCTTCGCAAGCACTGCACAACATGGGGCACTTACATACATGCAGGCAATACACTCATACACATAAAAAAAAAAAAAGTTAAAAAAAAAGTTTTAATCTTTTTAATCATTTTATAGCCACAGCACTTCTTCAAGAGCAGCAACAAGCCCTGTCATAAAGGCACAGTGAGAGCCACCTTCCCCAACACTTGCCACTCACCAATGGCCCTGCGGAAGTTCTCCATCAGCACCTCTGTCTTCTTGATCTCAGTTGAGTATACTTCACTGCCCACCATTGGGCAGAAAGGGACTTTACTGCCCAGCTCCTGAGCAATAGCAAGAGCCAAGGCTGTCTGCAGAGGACAAGAATGCAAAGACATTTGCTTTAGTGTTAGAAACAGTCACTTAAAGACGCAGATTATGAAAACATCAGCCAACAAGGGTAAAGTCCTGATCCTTATCCTCACTGGGCATGCTTCATACAGCAAGTGCAAACTCACTTTCCACCACATGTGCAGCCTCAATCATCATCATACTTACAAGACACCCCCAGCAAAGGCTTGCCTATAAGAGCTTCACAAAACCCTCACCCTAAGCAGATGCATCTGCTCTCCCCATCTTACCAAGAAGGAAATGAACACATAGGGTTAAACATAGTGCAAGTGCCATAACCTAGAGAGGACAAAATAGAGATTTGGGTTGGCAGCAGTGTGCCAGAATAGGTTCCCATCAGAAACAGTACCATCTTCCAAACTGTTCTCTCAACCTTAAAGCAGCACCTGGCCTATGTGCTCAAACCTCTGCAGGGTCCATAAGACACTCCTTTCTGTTTTTACAAATACTGGAAACACCAACCTACAGGCCACTAGATATGAGCAATGAAGGAAGACATCACATATTGTCTGCTTTATGCTAAGTGTCCCACAAACAGTGGAGAATGAAACATGTAGCATTTTGAGCCCAAGTTGGTATTAACAAGTCACATTAGCATGCCTTGTGGTAAAGCACAAATGGCTATTTGCTAACCCTGTTGGCAGAGGCTTGCAGTAGAGATCTGGTAAAATATCAAGTGTGAAAGGCAAATGTCTGAGAGTTGGTTAAGGACCAGGACATGCCTTTGAATGACATCTTTAACCTTCCTCCATTCTGAAACAAGGGTATGAATGAGGCCAGGTTCCACAGTCCACAGGCTGGAAGGAGTGGTCAATGCAAACAGTACTGAGACAGCGTAAGAAATGGCCCATGAAAACTGCCTCTTCTTCATTTTCAGTCTCTTGGGTGATAGTTTGAGGACAGTAGACTTTGGAAGCAAATTAGCATACAGCATAATGCAAGAAGCAGTGCCTGGGAGGCAGAAACTAATCTTAGTCATAATGCCACCATTAGGTGCAGCCTCAGCAATGACCAAATATGATGCCTAGCTGGTCAAATGAAAGATTAAGGTACCAGGTTGGATCACAGGCAGCAAATGAATTGCCCACAGAGCAAGGTTTTATCTTGCTCTCATTACTCTATAGCAGGCAGCAGAAGCCTCCCCAATGAGGGTACATACATATGGGGCTCTATCAGCCCCATAGCCCATGGGAATGTACCTGCCACCACATTCAACCCAATCAACACACCCAAGTTTCTGAGCCCAAAGCAGACAACTTTTAACACTGACATTCCAGGAGCAAGGGAAGAGTTCTGGAATGTGTTAGAGTACAAAAAGAGGGCTGCATTCTGGTATTGGAACACCCAGTGTGGGGCACAGGTTGGCAGTGCCAACCTTCTACCCCGTCTCTTCCCCATAGTTCCACAAACCCCAATTCGCTATCCTCAGCTTCAGACTTCTAAGAAAGAGTGTATCCAATTCACTGGCATCCTTGCCTCCCACTAATATGGAAGAGACTACTTCCATCAGACAGGATGCATGCTTGAAGGGGAATGATTCGTCTTGTCTTGTTTCATCCACTTGAAGGCTCCAAAGGAAAGCACAGAGTGTGACTCCCCAGACCTTCTGCTTATCACTGTATACATCTCACTGGTCTCCCAATAAGCCTAGGAAACTGATGTTCTTTCTAATTTGTTTGTTTTGTTTTCAGTTTTATTTTAGGCTTTTTTTTGACAGGTAGAATCTGGTAGCAAATTAGCATAGTACTGGCCTGACAGTCACTATGTAGCTCCAGCTGGCTTTGAACTCCTGCTCAACTGCCTGAATGCTGGGATTACCTTCGTGCCTGGCTCCTAGTTTATATTTTATTTATTATGAAACTGAAACAAAGATACTTGAGGTCAAAAAGTACAGCTAAGATGCAAACACTCATCTCCAAAGTCATTACTTTTCCTTGCGTGCACATACATATAAGTGCCCCATGGCACACAAAAAAAGCTGCTATAGAAAGACTGAGGAAGTTCATTTCTAATCTTAGCTGAACATTTCCTTTTCTTTCTTTTGAGATTTTATTTTAATGTATACGTGAGTGCCTTAATATATCTATGTGCACCACATTCATGTCTGGTGCCCAGATGCCAGAAGAGGCCATCAAATTCCTTAGAACCAAAGTTATGAATGGGCCACTATATGGGTGCTAGGAACCAAAACTGAGTCCTCTGCCATTCCATCAAGTGCTCCTAACTGATGAGCCATCTCTCCAGCCCCATGAACATCTCCTTTTCTAAAGCCAAACCATGAGCCCCACTCTTGACAGTGTGAGGTCTTCAGGAATAGATCTGCATCTGTACAGTAAATGTAACATCCCTGTCTGTCCACTCAGTCAAGTGGTCTGGTCTCAACTTCAGGCATACTATAAATCTTTCCAGAGATACCACAGACCTTCAAACTCATCAGAATACAGCCAGACTTGTAAACTAAGACCTTGGGTAGAGCTTATCTTATGTTTCTTAGGAGAAAACTGTCCTAGCATCACAGATGAATGACTTACAGCAACATGAAGCCACTTTCACAGAAACACCCACTGCCCTCAATACACACACACACACACACACACACACACACACACACACACACATATCCCTGCTGCCTACAAAAACACCCACTGCCCTCACTACACACACACACACACACACACACACACACACACACACACACATATCCCTGCTGCCTACAAAACACCTAGACATACAAAATAACAAATTCAAAGCCAGGCGTGGTGGTGTACCCCTTTAGTCCCAGCACTTGGGAGGCAGAGGCAGGCGGATCTGAGTTCAAGGCTGGCCTCGCCTATACAGTGAGGTTTCAGGCCAGCTGGAGCTACAGGGAGACCCTGTCTCAAAAAGACCTAAATTAATAAATTAATTAATTAATTAATTAATTAATTCAGAACAATGGACTACTTTTGCCATGAAGTTTTCAGAGTGTCTATAGCTACTGACAATACACAGCTTTAAGAAACCCATGGAAGGGCCAACATCAGTAGATGAGCCATCAAAGACTCTGCCTGGGGAACAAGGTATGAAATGGTCAGTCCTGTCCTAGCTGCAATTGAGGAAAGTTCCTCTCATACACTCACACACAGCTGGTCTGGACTCTATATTACTTGATAGTCCAGAATAGCAGAGAGCAGGTCTCCTCATGAATCCATCAAGAAGCACACTGTCTGACCTAAGTAGACTGAAAAACCCTCCCAGACTTGCTGAGCCCAAGTCCACAAGCAAAATTAATTTAGTACCAAAAAAGAAGCAATTTTTCCCAAACAAGGGACAGACGCTATAAAAACGGCCAGATTTTGAAGGAGAAATAAGTCTTTTGAGGGGTTAGAGGTAAGAATCAGACAAGCATTGTAGGACAGCTGTGGAGCATTCAGCTGTGGAGCATTCAACAAAACAATGGTTGTAGATGCCTTAAAAAAGTCAGCATTGAGCCAGGCTTGGTAGCACATGCCTTTAGTCCCAGCACTTGGGAGGCAGAGGCAGGTGGATCTCTGTGAGTTCAAGGCCAGCCTGGTCTACATAGTGAGTTCCAGGACAGCTGGGGCTACAGGGAGACCCTGTCTCAAAAAGACCAAAAAAAAAAAAAAAAAAAAAAAAAATATCAGGATGGCTCAGCCAGCAAAGGCAAGGCCTGACAACCTGAGCTGGATCCACAAGGTAGAAGGAGAGAACCAAGTCCCAAAAGTTTTCCTCTGACCTCTACATGCATATAATGGCACACATGTGCTGGGCCCCTCAAAATAAGTAAGTAAATATAACTTAAAAAATAAGTCAGCATCCTTAAGAGAAAATGAAACAAAATGGTGGGAAGAGTAACCCTTCTAGACAAAAGGAAGGTAAAGGAGAAAGAGCAGTTATTATCAGGCTGTGAGCTTTGACTGCATTCTGGGTTTTCTTCACTGTGTTGCTGAGGATGGAACCCAGGTCCTCAGCAAGCATGTGCCACTGAGGTGCACTCCCAGCCTTGTATTCTGAATTTTATAGCAAAAGCCAAAAATTGGAGGAACTTGGAGAATTCTTTTTGTCACTGTTTTTTGTATGTGCAACGTGTGCACTTACAAGCAGGCAACACACATAATTATATACATAAAATAAAAATAAAATATTTTTTTAACTTTTAAAAAAATTTATTTTTATTTTCAATGCCCACGGAGGTCAGAAGAGGCTGTCGGATCCCCTGGGACTGGAGTTATGGACACCTGTTAGCTGCCATGTGGGTGCTGGGATTCAAACCCAGGTCTTCTGCAAGAATAACCGGTGTTCTTAACCGCTGAGCCATCTCTCCAGCCCCTAAAATATTTTTTTTTTTAAAGAGCCCATTCTTGGGCTCCTGAGACCATTCTCTTCCTAGTTCTGCTCCTAATCTTTTTCAGTTAATTTTTAACTTTTTTAATTGACAAAAAATTGCAAGAAACTTCAGCATAAACTGTACATGAGCTAATGCTGTAGCGGTGGTCAAGTTGGGGGTAGGATGACAATACCATGGTATGTAGGAGGGGGTTCTATTTTGAAGTGGTTCAGAAATGAAACAGAGAAATTGCAAACATCCCAAAATACTTATAACCATCTCTCCGTGTAAGGCACAGACAGGCCCACCATGCTAACTACTCTTTCAGCCCTACTTCAAGCACTTCCCAGCTTCAGCTCCACTGACGTTAGGAGACAGGCTAATTCCTTATTGTGGGAACTATCCTACACTCTGGAAGACATTTAGCGTCATCTATGGCCAGTAGAACCTTCAATCTGTGACAATAATAAAAGCAAACAAACAACTGGGTCCCAGAGAATGAGGTAAAGAAAGGGCTGAAGAGGCCAAAGACTTTCCAGAACACATCAGAGGAGTGCAGAGATTCAAAAGGAATCATTAATGTCAGGTACGGTAAACAAAAATCTACCCTGTGATGTAGCAAATAAGCACCAAAGTCAAAACTATCTTTAAAACATCCAGAAAGAAAACTGTAAAGCCTCAAGGTGACAAGGAAGGGAGAACTAAGGAGCATCACCTGAACTACACATGCAGCACAACCATCTTCCAACACAAGGATATGCCAGGCCGGGTGCCCACACCTGCAATTCTAGCACTCAGGAGGCTGAGGCAGGAGGATGGACCCCAGCCAGCTGACTGACAACAGTAGTGACATGCTTTTTACCTTCAAGTTGGAGATCAGCCAGGGTTACATAATGAGACTGTCTCAAATACCAAATAACCAAACAAGGACAACAGTCCTTTCTACCAACAAACCCATAGAAGGAACTTCTAGAAAATTGACTTTAGGAAGAAAACTGGACAGAAAAGGTGTAAGATGTAAGAAAGCAGAGCAAGCACAGAAATAGTAACGTTGCCCATGGGGAGATCACCAAGGCTCGCACAACATCTCATTAACATGGCTCTTCCTCTTCTGTAAGATGCCAGTATAAGGTACACCATCAATTCAACAGAGGATTTCAAAGTTAGAATTAGTTATTCTCTAACCACTGATTGGTTTAAGAACTGCAGGGAAAGCAAAAGATGCAACAGTTCCCTCCCCCATACCCCACCCTCTCCCCTAGCTTTTTTTTTTTTTTTTTCCAAATGCAAGCCCAGGCTCTTGGTCTCTAGGTTTCAGGTGAAAAACAATGGAGGCTCACACTAGTAAACTGGTCAGTTATCAAATGTCCCACCAGCCAGGCAGGGAGACACCTGCTTGTAATCCCAGCACTAGGGAGGAGGATCAGGAGCTCAAGGTCAGTTTCAGCTACAGAGCAAGTTTGAGGTCTGGTTGGGATACCAAAAAAGGGTTGGTATCAGTGAGTAAAAACACTTGCATGCAAGCCCGACAAACTAAGTTCAATCCCCAGATTCCACAGTAGGAGAACAGACTCCTAAAAGTTGTCCCCTGACATGCACACACCAAATTCACACACACAATAAAATTTTTTAAATATTTCCAGTAAGCCACACTGTGTCCTCTGCCGGGAAGGCCCTTTTCTTCCCTGCAAGGCCAATCCTCCTTCAGCTCTAAAGGGCAAACCGCAAGCCTCAACCCCTCCAGCTTCACCAGCCCGCTGTGCCATCCTGCTGCAACTCCAGTTGTATTTAGATTAATTAGGGCTCCATGGTCAGCACTCAGCAGAGTCCCTTTGTTCTGCCAAGCCTCCTGGCTTTCTGACCTGGTAAGACTGCAAGCCCCTTGAAAATAAAAGGCCTGTCTCGGGGCCAAGGCTCAGTGGATAAAGGCAGCTGCACAGGACAACACAAGCTTGATGACCTGAGTTTGATGCCCAGAACCCACCAATCCATTTAAAAGTGAAAGGAGAGAACTGACCTCGCAAGTTTGTACCGACTTCCACACCAAGGCGCACGCGCGCGCACACACACACACACACACACACACACACACACACACACACAAATAAAATCAGTACTGATAAAGCTAGGGACTATAGAGCTGGCTCAGTGGTTAAAAGCATTGGCTACTCTCACAGAGGACCTAGATTTGATTTGGCACCCACACGGTGGCTGAAAATCATCTGTAACTCCAGTTCCAAGGGATCCGATGCCCTCTTCTGCTTCCACAGGCACTGCATGCGTGAGTATACTTACACACATGCAGGCAAAACACTCACACACATAAAATAAAAATTTTAATTAAAAAAAGCACATCTCAGGGCTGGAGAGATGGCTCAGCAGTCAAGAACACTGGTTGTTCTTGCAGAAGACCCAGGTTCGAATCCCAGCACCTATATGGCAGCTAACAACTGTCTGTAACTCCAGTCCCAGGATCCGACAGCCTATTCTGACCAATGCGGGCATTGCACCACACGAGTACACTTATCTACACGCAAGCAATACACGCATACACATAAAATAAAATAATAAAATTAAAAATAAAAAAGCACATCTTTACTTCATTTCTTCCCACCTCTCGAAGAGCACTGATAGGCAGGACTAGCATTTGGGAACATGCAGACTCACTTTCTCTACCCTCAAACAAGACATCACTTCAAAGATTTTTATGACACCGGACCAACAGAAATATATTTCTTTCCAAAGCAAAAGAGACTTGAGATAAAGGAAATATTCTAGAAACAACGAGACGCCTCCAAGGACTTCATTCTCTCTTCTCTGGAGGTAGGCCAGGGTAATTTTAATCTTATAACACGGGCTTTAGACCCTCAATTTATTATTACACATTAGTTTTTAAAACATACATATAACCACTCTAGCTAAACAAAGACTAGTTAAGACATGAATTCAATTTGGCTTAAACATTAGTATCATTCTCTTGGGTAGCTGAGGGAGTGGGAAGGACAAGTACCTTGCCAGTTCCAGGAGGTCCTGCCAACAAGACAGCTCTTCCAGCCATTTTCTTGCTTTTGATTAATTCTACTATGACGCCACATGCCTACACACAACAATGGAAAGAAACAGTCAGTCAATATTAAAATGCCTCATGGTGGAAACAATTCAGTCCCTGGTCCACACAGCTCGTGTACTCTTCCAACTAACCCTGAGTGCCAGGGGCTGCAGCACTCTCTGAGTGTAAGACAGCAAAGCCTCATACTCCGGCAAGGACACAGGCAGACATGGAGAGAAAAAAAGATGAGAAGCGAAGTGGCTCCAGAGAGCAGGGGAGGTCTTTTCCATGATATTATATGTAACATCTAAAAGCCTGGGCAAGGCAGTCTATGCTCCAAGCAAAAATAGTAAATTCAAAATACCCAAAGCAGTGGTTTAGCATGTTCAAGGGACAGAGAGGGAGCAGCAAACAAAGTATAGTGAAAAGAATTGGAAGGTGAGGTTGAAGAGATAGGCCATGACCAGCACAGACTAGGGACTTACAGTCCAGAGTAAAATCTGACTTCTCTACACATGACAGAAGCCACGGAAAATGTCTTGGACCATGTGCTACAATGTGACTGTATTCAGGAGCATGTTGGCTGCTGTGTGGAGAACACACAGGTTTATGAGTAGGAGGGGTGAGTGTTAGCCTACACAAAAGGGATAGGCCTCAGGGCCCACAAACCTGAAACTGGAAATAAAATCTTACACATGTTCACTCACACAGTTTTCAGGCAGATCACAGCTTTCATCAAAACCCATGAAGAGTTAAGAAAGAACCAATGACACAGACCACTGGCTGGTCATCAGTGAACTGTGAAGAGCAAATCCTTTATGTGAATGAAACCTGTCATACCAAAGGATCTGCTGAAGGCCTGCAGAACCCTCAATATTCAATTACTTGATTATTTGCTAAGATAGGGGCTGGAGAGACAGCTCAGCAGTGAAGAACTCTTGCAGAGGACCTGGGTTTGGTTCCTAGTACCCATGTCAGGTGACTGACAAATGCCTGTAACTCCAACCAGGGGATCAAATGCCCTCTTTAGACTTCCACCAGCACCATACTCATATGCACACACAGACAACACATACATATAAATAAAAAGAAAACTTTAAAAATAGAGGCTGAAGAAATGGCTCAGTGGTTAAGAGCTTTTGCAGAGGACCTGGGTTCGGTTCCCAGCACCCACATGGCAGCTAGCAACCATTGTAACTCCAGTTCCAGGAGATCCAACACCCTCTTCTAACCTCCGCATGAGCACTGCATGCACATGGTGCACTTATATACATGCGAACTCTGGTTAAGCCTGTACAGTTCACATGCACACATACCCACACTCTGTGACTTGTTTACTATCTAACAAGTTGGCTCAGCGGGTAAAAATGCTTGCCATGCAAGCCTGATATCTGAACTTGGTCTCTAGAACTCACAGTGGAAGGAGAGAACTGACCACCTAAAAGTGTCTTCCACCCACCAGACATATATGCCCACACTCATATACACATACATATCTCACACACACAATAAAAAAATAATTAACAGAAAGTAAGGCTGAGAAAGTCACACCTCCTGAGCACCAAAACTCTGGGACCACCCAATATAAGATGTTACACTGATCTAATAATCCAACACACAGTAGCTAGGAAGTGCATCTTCCCCGCTTGAGGAAGGCTTTAGCTCTTCCTTCTGGACACTAACCTCACTATACCCTACTGACAATCTTGTGACTAGATCAGAGCTCCTTTACACAGTTACCTTATGGACTTGGTTCCACATATAGCAATCCTTCAAAAACTGCATCCAAAGAACATTCAGATCACCTGGTCTTACACGCTCACTTTTCAGATGAAGATACTGAGTACGAGAGAAGTTGCTGGTCTGATCAGTCATACAAGATCCTGGTGCAGAGGTAGGTCTAGAGCTGACTCCAGAGTCACATACACTCCAGTTTAAATCCTGGCTCTTCTGCATGTCAGCTGTGTGACCTTATCCTTACTTTACCTATAACCTCTGTGAACCACAACTACTCATCTGAATCCAAGAGTTCAAAACAGCCAGTAATGCACACACTAAGGATTAGGGATAAAGTATGCTCATGTCTGTAGTTTACTCTAATTTTAAAATACTCTAATTTTAATTTAAAAGTGGAATTGGTAGGTTGATACATAAAATAGACTATAAAGAAACACCATAAGATACTGATTTTAGAATTTAGGTACAATGGTATTAACTATGCAAACCTTTCCATTTTTTTGTATGTTTAGAAAACATCATACCGAAGTAAAAAGGACTGAAATAAATTAGAGGCATATACAAAACAATGTAATTAAAGCTGCCTGCCACATAAACAACATTTAACCATTGTTAACTGCTTGTGAAAACAGGTGACAAGTGAGCCAGTCAAAAGTCTCACTTTTGGAAAGATGATGTTCCAAACGGAAACCAGAGGCTTTTGGCTATGTTTCCAAGAGGCTAAGAAGGCAGTCTTTACCACATGTTAAGTGCAGGTTTTAGTAGCTGCTGAGCCTCTGCAGAGGCCAAGGAGCATGACTCTGAACTTCAAGTATGCTGAGGTCTGGACAGAGTTTCGATTTGGGTGCAAATACCATCTCATTACTCAACTTTATGGCAAGTGATGGATGGGTGGCGTGACCTCTTTCACCTTCAATTCTTTCATGAGCAAAATAGTAGCAATCAAAAGGCTACTTTTTTATCAATTGCCATTTACTTTAAGCAGACTGACTGGAATCACTAAAGAGTGCTTGGAATAGGAGACACACCAGACTGGTCCTCCCTAATCAACTCCCTAGCAACCCAAATCAACTTTTAAAGCTTGGTCAATTCCCTAGTTAACAAACCCACAGCCCGCCACTGCGTTCACAGCAAAGTCCGACTACCGCGCCGTGGCCGACAAAGGATGCAGTGTTTGTTGGTTTCTCGCCTGTCTCACAAATCTTGCTAGAAGGCAGGCTGCGCCAGCTCAGGATCCGCTGTCCTGGCCCGGCAGCCCACGCCCCGCCGCCGGCGCCCACCTCTCTAGCGTTCTCCTGGCCCACAAGCCCCGAGGCCGCCTGCTTGGCTAGGCCGCTCTCGTCGAGCCCCAGCCCCTTCACGTGACTGTGGGAGGCGATGCGCTGCGTCTTCGTGGTGCTTTTCACCTCCTCAATCTTCATCTTGCCAACGCCAAGAGCCACAATCCGCTGCGTGGAGAAGCGGTGAGTGCACCACCCGGGGTTACCACGCGGCCGTTACTAGGCGGCTCACTGGAGCCCGCCCTCGTCGGCTCTCCATTGGCGGAAGAGAGAACGCCTCCGCCTTCTATTGACTCGGGGCCATGCCCGTCGCGGCTGCCGGTAAGTTCCGCCCACCCACTTCCGGCTGTGTCACCGGGTTGGATTTCCCCCAGGGCAGGCGTTTCCTGTCTGTGAGAGCTTGAGGGAGGGGACTGATGCTGAGGGTTTTGATGCAGACTACCGGCCTCTGTCACTGTCTCTGACCTTCTGCCTAATTTAGATCTAACTGTTATTCTCCTTCAGTTTGTTATGGGGCTTTAAACATGTTCAGTGTTTTACGTTCAATGCTTTAAAGCACGGTTAATGATAATAGCAGGGTTTTATTATAAACGCCCCTTTTAAAAAATATTTTATTTATTATTTTATGTGTATGCGTGTATTTCCTGCATGTAGGTAAGGGCACCCGTGTCGTGCAGTGGCTGCGGAGGACAGAAGAGAGACTGTCGGATCCCCTGGGACTGGATAGTTGTTAGCTGCCATGTGGGTGCTGGGATTCGAACCCAGGTCCTCTGCAAGAACAGTGTTCTTAACCGCTGAGCCATCTCTCCAATCCCATAAACGCCCGTTTTAATGTTTCTTTTTCTTTAAGCTGTCAGAGACAGGGTAAGTTAACTCCCTCATTGATAGTTGTTAGAGCTTTCCCGGGTGCCTGGCTGCTTTGAGTGGAAAACCTGGAGCCAAGCAGCTGCCCCAGCTTCCCACTGGACACTCCCAACAATGTCCTGGGGAAGCTACTCATCCAACCATAGTTCCTGTTTTGCCAAGCTACAAGAATGGCTCCAGAAGTCACTATTCCAGCCAGGACTTTTTCATTACAGAAATTTTGTCATCACAAGCCTAGTGAACTCTAGTGGCCATTTTCACCCAGACTGGAGAGGGCACATTCCCACTGGTAGCCCAGCAAAAAGCCTGTGATTGGCCAGGCCTGGTGGTACACACCTGTAATGCCAACAACTTAGGAGGGCAGAGGCAGGCAGATCCCTGTATGATCAGCCTGGTCTACAAAGCGAGTTCCAAGCCATCCGGGACTAAAGGGAGACCCTGTCTGAAAAAAAAAAAAAAAACAAAAAAAAAACCTGTGATGGTGCAAACATTGCATCATTGGAATGAGCAACTGTTCTGTGGTTGGTGCAAATATGATTATTTGCATGAACCACTGTGCCATAGTAGAGGTATGAGCCTTCATTTGCATTGAAGTGCAAAAATGGGCAGTGGCAAAACGGCAAACCTTGCTATACCCTCCCCCACAACATTTGGCGTATATAAGCACTTTGAAGCCAGCCAAGAGACACCTTTCTGAGCTGCTCCCAGATGTTGCACCATTAAAAGACTTCTCTTAAGTGGCAACATGAAAAGATGACAGATGACAGATGGCACCAGAGTGGTAGCAGCAGTGAACAGTGAGAGGGCACCTGAGGAGTTCCAGAGAGTAAGTGGGAGCAGAAATGACAAACGACAGCAGAGAAACGGCCAGTCCAGGTTGGTAGAAGAGTCCCAGGGAGCTCTAAGTTGTAAAGGTCAAGATTTATATAACACTAGCCACTGTAGGTGCTCAGGACCCAGCAGTCAAGACCCATTCAGAAGCCATGCTAGCAGGCATTGCCTACTGCTAGAAGCTGGGTATAACAATAGTTGTCATGTACCAGGGACACCAGTAGTCAAAAACAAAGAGTAATAAGCCTCTAACTTGAGCACCTGGAGCTTTAAGTCTCTCACTTCTAAAGCCTGGAGCAATAGGCTCCTGGCTGTCAGAGCTTAAGCTGCAAGTCTCTAGCTTTGCTAGCCCTGCCAAGTCCTGCCCATGAGCCTCAGACACTCAAAGGCCAGGGACTACACAGAACAGAAGAGCTTCTCACCTACCCATGATTTCTATCTGGGTAGAGTAGAAGGCCTTAATCATCTTATTGGTAACACTGAGGTCACTCTTAGCACAATAAAACAAAAGACAGCAGACTAATGGAATCCAGTGACTTGTCCAAGAACATACAACAAATAGCAGAAATGGAACTCCAGTTGAGGACTTCAGGCTTCAAAATGTGTATCATCCTCATTCAATCCCACAATTTAAATGAGACCATAAGCCAGCAAAGATGTTCTGATAGGTTGCATTATTATGTTATTAGTTACCTGCACAACTGTCCCTCCATCCATTCAACAAACATTCGTCAGCACCTTCTGTGGTCAGACACTACAGTGCAGTCAGACACAGGCAGGAAACAGTCTTGACAATCCTACAAAGAACTGGAAAAACTGCAACAGCAGACGTGCTATAACAAGTTTCCTGAAGGGTGTGCAAGCCCAGAGTGGGCACCTGAGCACTCTGCCGAGCCTGGAGAAACATCGCTAAGGTGATCGTGCCTTTGTGAAATACTGACAGATGACTGTCACTTCCCCAGGAACAAATGGTATGGTACCATCTTACAGATGAGTAAACTGAGGTCCAAAGGAAAGAAGGCCTTTCCCAGAGTGTGAGGAAGCTTGCATTAAGTTAGGACAGACCTGAAGTCTAACCTAGCTACAGTAGTTCCTGACACCCGTGCCTTCCAGTATTGCTCCATTCTCCCTATCACATCTAGGTTTCTAATGGCTTCTAATTATTTGTATAACCACTGGTTTATCTCTCCCACTACACTGTTTACATAGTGAAAGTTTAGACAGCATTGTGATATTCGCCATTTTATCTCAGTGCCTGGAATTCTAAGTTAAAATATAGTTCTAGGCACACACCCATACATACATCCCCCCACAGCTCCCCACCCACAACACACATATCTATGTACTTGTGCTGCACATATTTGTACAATAGCTTTTAGAGGGCTTGGTTTCTACTAATAAATAGACTCTTCTGGCATTTTCAGGGCCCACCAGTGCAAAAACCAGGCCTTGGAAGACAGAGTATTACAGGGGGCCTGTGACTTATCAGCCCTGGTGACAGCAGCTCTGGGACATCTAAGCTCTTGAGTATCTCCTTGACTTTGTGGAGCAGCAATTACTCTTGCTGGCTGCAGGAGGAACTCTTTTCACCAACTAGTAGTTGAAGCACAGTGTTCCATGGGACTAACTGTGCTGTGTATTATCCAACTGGGAAAAAAGAGCTTTATAAATTTACTAAGTCCTAAATTTTGTCACTTTTGGCACAAGGAATGATATACTTCTAGCTCAGTGGTTGGGTGGTATTTATTTTGAGACAGAGTTTCTCTATGTAGCCCAGGCTGGCCCCAAACTCACAGTCCTGCCTCAGCTTCCCAAGTGCTGGAATTACAGGTGTGTGCCATCAAGCTCAGTGGTCCAGTGGCTTCGAACCATATTCCCAATGACTATGACATCCTTTTCTGACCAGCACTGGCTGGGGATGGGGGAAGGGGTTGTAAGTATAAGAGACTACCATTTTCCCATCTTTTAAAATGGTAAATAAGAGTTCAAAAATCACTGAACAGACCTAGTATTCTCATTTTACAGTTGATGAAACTGGGACCCAAGAAGGACTGGACTTGGCTTAAGTTCACAAAGTGTGCAAATGCCTGACACAGATCCTGTGTGCAAAAGATGCTAAGCCTTGTTGCAGAGTCAGGCATTTGGTTGGTTGGTTGAAGCACAGTCTCATGTAGCTAAGACTGGCCTCGAAATCATGACGTAGCCCAACTGGACTCACCGTGCACCAACACCCAGCAGACCTTTTTAAAAAAATATA